AGGTCAAATCTGACGAAGTCGTCCACAGCTCGGATGATGAGGAAGAAGGTGAGGTCAAAGAGGATTCCACTTTGAAGAAGAACATCGTACTCAGAAAGGAACCTCTGAGGCCGGCTTCCAAGGCACGACCTGTGGCAACAGAGAGACGCGATTCCTCGGCTAGTGAGGCCCCCGGATCAACAAAGGACAGCAAGACACGACTCAAGCCATCGACTTCTGCGAAGCTTGTCGCCAATGCTGCCACAAGAAAGGACAGCGCAATCTCCAAGGTCAAGCCAGAGGCTCCGTTGCACTCCAAAGCTGCTACTCTTACGAAGAAACTTGAGGGTTCAACAGCAGCAAACGCCGCCACGAAGTCGAAGGACAGCCCGGCTCAAAGACCGGTGAAATCCTCCTCAACGACGCAAAGACCCAACGTTAGCCCACGAAGACTGACAGACACAAAACCCAAGGTGCCTTCACCTCTGGGTACGAGTCCTCCGAGAAATGCATCTGACCATGCTGAAAAGCCAATCAAACAACCGCCCAAACCATCTACAACTGCTGCCAAGCCAGTCAGACCTACGCCCACAGCGAAAGCCTCCGAGCCTCTGAGTTTCTTTGGTGGTGTCAAGACTAGCTCACAATCGAGGATTGTCACCAAANAACGCCCTCTTGAGTCTGACACTGAAAGCGCCGAACCAGCAAGAAAGGTGGTCAAATCTACCACGTCCACTCCAGCGAAGACTTCAACCGGCGTTGCAACCAAATCTTCGGTGGTGAATGGCACTGGCAAACAAGCAGTTACCAAAGCACCATCTACACTTTCCGCTGCCACAGACAAATCCTTGAAACGCAAGGCCAACGATCTCTCTTCTGGCTTACACGACCATGCCGCACCTCCTTCGTCCAAGCACCGCAAGACCGACTCAGGAAGCACGCACTCGCACACAGCTACAAGTTCATCGGTTGCATCTCTTACAACTGCTCCCACTGTCTCACCTCACTCATCTCCTGCGGGCTCGGACTTCTCAGACGACAATCTTGCTGGAATTCTGAACGACCAACATGAAGGCGGAACGCTCACATGGGAACAGACTCGCGCCGCGGCTGAGACCTTCCGGAGCAAGTTGTATCCAGAGTACCTCAAGCTGTACCGCCGTATTGAGCAGACACCCAGCGACAAAGTTGCACAGGAAGACACCGTACGCTTGTGGCAGTTGCACAACCGTCTAGAGGCTATTAAGCATCGTATCGAGGTCGCTTGTCGTAATGGCGACAAGGGAGGAGCATAGGGAGTAATCACTACATATACATCTGCATTTATCCTGGGATTGGAGTTTGGGAGGATCATGACTACTGAACCGGGAAAGCGAAGCATTTACTATTATTTCATCGACAGGGGTTTCTAGTTACACAGGTCTCACGACGATTATAGCATGGGGGATCTTCGTTGTTGCACAAAGACGCACACGAACAAAATATGATTTGGTTTACAACAGTGACGCTACACATCAGACATATCATGAAACGACGACAGGGTGTATCGTGAATCGTGGTCGACGCGAGAGGACGAAGGACAAGTTCATGTTGACGTACCACCACTTGTATCATGCAAACGTATTGAACAAGCCACTTCCGGCTAATAACACATCTACTTGTTTGACATTGAGATTCCATCGTCGGCGACTTCAAATAGCAGTGACCAGGGTCGTCCTAGCGGCCATGAAAGATGAACTCAGCCACATGCGCAGCACGCGAGGGACGAGACATCCGTGCACGCCGATGGAAGCGACGAGCAATAAAGTCTTGGCCCCATCTTGTCGGGTGACGACGAGGAAACAATCCTATCAAAAAAGAGCAAACCGCCTGGTCCAGCTGACTACCTCTCTTATTACACTCCTTGGAACTATCCTGCGCACCTTGCGATACTTGGATCACGAGGAACCGAAACCACCTGCAGAGTCGATCGCAAGCTACTGCGTCCTGCAAGCCAACATGCTGGCTAGCATCGTTTTAGATCAAAACTTCCCGCATTACACAAATCTGGACTACATTTCCGGTAAAGTGTTTGTACGGACGCAAACCGCGACGACAGTCTCTAGCATCGTAGTAAAGCTCGAGGGTGAATCGAGGACAAGACTGCTACCGCCCCCGACCCCATCCGACGACAGGCAGAAGCCTCAATTGGAGTTCCATAAGGTCGGTGAAATATTTGTTTTATTACCCTGTCGTGTACCAGTGCCGTAAGGATGGTGATGTCGGTTCGATATGATCACAGGCTTTGACGTCATAGGCTTGTTTCTGGTGGTATACGACTCACATGCTGACAAGCAGGTAGNNATTCTCTACAAGACCTTAGCAGTATTCCCACCTCCAGAAATTGCAGGACAACAAGGTAGCAGCTCTGGGACGTTTTCCGGCAAGACAGCATATACTCTGCCAGCTGGACAGCACGAATACCCTTTTCGGTTCAAGGTATACATTCTCCACAAATCCCAATGTTTCTACAGCTGATTGTTGACCAGTNTTCCCTTCAACAATGCATGTGAACCATCTTCCAACTCCAACCCGACCGTTACATTCTTTGGAGGTCTCAATGTGGAAATGTACAAATCACCGCATAGCCATGTCAAGAAGACATTACCACCGACGCTAGTAGGATTTCCTGGCGAAGCCGAGATACGTTATTATGTCAAGGCGACTGTCAATCGCCCCAGTCTCTTCAAGGAGAACGCCCGCGCGTATGTCGGATTCAGCTTTTGCCCCATCGAGCCGCCACGTCCACCACCATCGGATGCCTTGGGATATGCACGACGTCGGCATCAGTTCAACATGAATATGCCTTCTACACCCATGGCAATTCCTAGCAAATCCAAGATGGCTTCTTTCTTCGGCGGCTCGAAGAAGCCGAATGGATCCACATCAGGAAGCACGACGCCCACAGCTCCGTTCATAGCCGTCGACATACGCTTACCAGAGCCTGCGATCCTGACTTGTGCAAAGCCAGTACCTGCCCGTCTTATTGTCACCTGTTTGAATGGCAAAACTACTGCTTTGACACTCTTGTCTCTGCAGCTCGAAGTCGTGGCCATCACCAAGATCCGGGCGCAGAACGTCGGCAGGGTTGAGCGCAGCAGCTCAGTATTGTTCTCTCGCAGCGGTATGGCAGTCCCACTTCAATTTGGTGATAGCGCAGCCAGAGATGCAGTTGTACCAAATGGCGGAGAAATCGAGTCAGAAGCTGAGATCGACTCTCGATACTGGAGCGATATATCATTGCCTAATATCGTGCCACCCAGCTTTGAGACTTGCAACATCACTCGCACGTATGAGATCCTTGCTCGCGTCGGTATTCGTTATGACGGCACTGCATCAATGGTAAGTTCACATGATGTGAGTTCATCCCAAACCGATTAACNNGCTGACACAAACAAGCCTCAAACAACCACCATAGACCTCCGTCTACCTGTCCAGATTTTCTCAGGCATTACTCCACCACCTGAGCTTCTTGAGGCCATGGCAAGGGCCCAAGCCCAGGGCACAACTGATGATCCTTCTTCTGCGCCACCAGTACCGCCCAGACCCAACTACCCAGCAGACACCAAATCTGCATCTGGAGCGCCACCACTTCCAGCTCGTAAGCCAGTTGCGCCTGCAGCGTCTGCAGCGACAGCAGAATCTATACAGGCACCCATCCAGACTGTGCAGCATGTGGACCATTCAGGCGAGGAGCCACCTTATGGCGATGCGCCACCTAGCTACGAAGATGCCGTGGCTATGGAGGTTCAGCCAGTGAGCGGAATTCAGAGGGCCGAATATGCACCGCCTGTCGTGGCCGAGGATCCATTGTTGAGCTCTGGTAGAGGCGAGAAGAGCGGATGGCATTGAACGTAGCAAGAAGAGACAGGAGATGCAACAGTTGATGTCCATGGCATTGCAGTAATAGACTAATAATTAATAATCATTATTCCTTTGCTTCGATCGACTGCAAGAACTGTGACCTAAGAAGAGAGACTGGATGGACTATACAATGACATCTACCCAAATCTGCATCTCCCACTCCATGCGCTGAGATAAGACAAACTATTCATTACCAACACGCGACAAGAAGCGAAACCCTCTCGAAACCCAACAAAGCAACAGCAAGAAACTCAACACTAGCGAAAGAAAAGCCAGAAACCAAAAAAAGCCAAAAAGAACCAAGACCCAACTTGGGGGAAACATCCTTTTAACCAAAGTCATCGTCGCGACCAACCAAGGCGGAGGAGAGTCGAACTCACCACCTCTGGATTCTATTTATACTAGACTTTGTCGAGGTTTCCATCGAGTGGATGCCGTGTGAGCCACAGAACCGATCTCTGAATAAAGGAGTCGACTTTGATTCAATATGATATTGAGAGGCGAGTGAGGGAAAGGATGGTGTTGTTGAAGTGAAGGGAAGTAGAGCTTTCTCCTCTTTCTCCTCTTACTGCACCAAACTCTACATGGAACTCGTAGCCCTCCTCGATGAGTCGACATGAAAGTATAACAATACGCACCTAAGTCTCAAGCATATATGTATCCAGAGAGAATTGCGGAAAGAATGACTCTAGAAGGAAACCGTTCTGGTTCCCGGTATTGCGCATTTCCTTCACTTACTCGCTGTACTGACTTTTATGGGCAGAGGCGGAAAGAATCAAGAAGAAGAAAACATGCTTCATAAGACTTCCATTGGGTTTTCTAATCGAGAACTTTCAATTTCAAACTGGAAAGACTGTAAACTTATGATCCGTCTGTTGCCCACAGCAAGACCAAAGAGAAGCTAGATCACCCTATTTCCGACCAGGCAACGAAGGAAGTTGCTCGTCGTAATGATCTTGCTGTCTCTGCTCTTCTGAGATAACCGATGGCCAGGTGGCATCGTAGGCGTCTGAGTCCACAAGCTCCTGTAACCTTTCGACCGCAGCACAGAGCATGCATAGCAAGGGGCCTAATCGACAACACCCCCAGGGTCGGCGACGACGACGACGACGGGCTCGCTAGCCCTCCATAGCATCTTGCGAAAAGACACCAAAGCCACCACTAGCTCCACCTCTGAGGCGACCATATTGTTCCTGACTGTTCTCTTGCGCAGTGAAGCTGCTTTCGGACGCATATTCTTGCTTGATAGGCACATCTTCGATGGAGAGCTCATGTTTGTAGACAAGTTGATCCCTCGGCTCGGGTCCACGGATGACACGGTCCAGTGTTTCAGTGCTAGTGTTTTGCCAAGGGCTATAGTCTTTGGTTGACAGCAACTGGACAGTGCGGACGAGGCTGAGGGCTTCTTCGAGATTCTTACGATCGGTAGGCGACAGACTAGAGATGGACGATGCAAGCGTCTGGTCAATCAAGCAGTCTGCGCGGACCAAGAAGGCATCCGAACCTGTATTCTCAGGCATACTATGCACAGTGGCGAGGTCCTGGAGCTTTCTTTGCACTTCGCGAGCGGCCTTTTGACCTCTGGTCCTCCTGGCCGGATCGCTGGGGGAATAGTCGTTGTCTGTACCAGAGGTTTGCATAGCTGGCGCACGATCCACTACCTCGTTCGATGCAACAATGTCGTCCATGAGAATGCTGCTTTTGTTTTGTTGCCTGTGCTGTTCGACGAGGCGGCTGCGTCTAGCTAGCGCTCTGGCTCTGTTCTCAGCCACTTTCTCTTTGTGGGCTTCCAGTTTGGCGAGTCTCTTTGGATCAGCGGCACGCTGGGCAGCCTTTTCCTGCCTTGCGGCAATCTTGACGGGGTCAGAAACATTCAGAACGGCGTCTTCGCGTCTTTTGTTGCGCTTCTTCTGCTTCCGGGTAAGCTCTTGTAGCCTTCTGCTTTCATTGAAGTTCATTCTCTTCAGAGCCTGTGAATGGTGAGCATCGACTACAGGAACAGGTTCGATCGTGATAACTGTAAAGAAGGCAAGAGGTGAAGGATAGAGACTTACGCTGATCATCTGGCCTTCTTGTGTCTTTACACGATTTGCCTCCCTGGCTGCATCCTTTGACAGTTTGGACTGCTTACTGGCCCGCTGATCGAGGTGTTCACCACGCTCTTGGCCGAGTACCTGTTGATTCTGAGTCATGACACCTGGTTCACGTTGTCTCTCCAGGGCGCGAAGATACATGCTCTGATGCAGGGCGCAACGTTCTCCGATTTCTGGACAGCTTGAACAATCTTCACGAGCTGGCACGCCTGCGAAAGCCATTTCATCCGACATGCTGATTGTTTTCTGTGCTTCGAGATCGGTAAGGGAATCGATCAAGTTATGGTTGTGCGCGAGCCAGATTGAGCGAGGAGGGTTGAGGGTGTGTCGATGATCAGGGCTTTTGTGTAAGCGAACAGCCGTGAGGGAGAGTGTGACAGTGCAGTGCTCTCAAGGCGGCGAGCCGACGAGTCGCCAGCAAAATACCAACGTAAACAGCGATTGTTTCGCAACTTCGTAGCAAGAGAGTTGTAATGATGGAAAAGAAGAGAGATGAATCGAAAGGAAGTCGATGATGTGTGACAAACGATAGAAGAGGTAGCTTCACCAAAAGCTCTCACCAAGAATCATTGCGGAAGTCGCGACTGTCAGTCGCAGTCACTTTCGGGACAATAACACGGAAATCTCCTGTTTGATCGCAGACTAGCTTCTACAGTATCTTCCTTTCACAAAACACGATCTTCAACCAGACATTCTCAACTTCTCATGATATCACTTGGAGTGAGGAACGTTTAAGGTCGAGACGGACAAAAGAGAGTGACGGTTGAATCTCGGCATGCACGGACTTTACCCGCGTCGAAGGGGTTGAACTTCGTGCGGCGACATCCAACTTGCCTGCTGACCACGCAGTACGGCCATCACCGAGCAATAGCCAACAAACCTCTCATCGTGCCGGAACGCAGTCAAAAAGTGTCCAGGGGTTACCACACTCAGACAAGCAGCAGCAGAAGTAGTAAAAGTGCGCGCCCAGGAGTGACCTACGTTCGCCTGCGCATTCCATCGACCACCAGTGTCGCACGACCACCATTCATCACATCTCTTTGCGCATTCATCTCCGAGCATATCATCTCGAGTACAGACTTCCAAGCGAAGAGACAGGAACACTCGTTGGGAAGTGGTCGCGGTCATGTCAAACATCATTACTGTTTGTGATCCCCTCGTTCGACCGCAAATCGCACGTTGGCAGCGGCGATGCCAACGGACTTCACTGACATTCTGCAGGGCGAGATCTATGAGAAGATCATTCAAGAAGTCATCAACGCTTCGCAGAACGACTTCGAGGAGAATGGTGTTCAGCAGCAGACCTTGATGGAACTGCAACAGGTCGGTCATTTCTTTTTTCTTTGCACTTCACCTGTCTTCATGTCTTTGGTTCAAACCACTCGCCATANNCCTCAGTGTCCGTGCTGTTCTTTTGTTGTGTCTTTTTTCGTTTTTGCTCGACTGGCTGCTGCCTGCGAAGCTGAAGCGCAGGCGATAAAAAGAGCGGCGGAAGCGGGGCTTAAGGCTCAGAGACGTCCCCCTCTGACCCCAGTTTTATACTGGTTGGTCTGAGCGCTCATAGTCCCGAAGTTTCGCCGAACCAACCCTTCAATCAGCTGATATGCTATCGTGTTTCTACATGCTTGTACTAATACGCATCCAATAGTCATGGCAGCATAAGATGTCGCAGCGCGATGTCGCGCAGATGCCTTGGGACCCCAAGCCGGTTCCAGCTCCGCCTCAACAACCACCTCAACAGCAGCAAGCACCACAGCCTGCTCCAGCACCCCTGCCTGTGCAGAACGGAGCTCCTGTCCAGCACCAAGCTCCCCAGAACGGACATGCACAGCCCAAGCCTGAACCCGGCTCGAATTCTCAGCCTATGCACAACTACCCTCCTGCTCAGCAAGGCTATCCTCAGCAGATGAACCAGCAGATGATGGCACAGCAACGTGCTGCGTCACTTCTCCAGCAACAGTTCGGTCAACAAGCCAATGCTTCACTCAATGCCATGCAGCAGAGAGGCATTGCTCTTCCTGGAGGCGTTCAGAACACTCAGCCCCAACAACAGCCACAACAACAGCAACAGCAACAAAGACCGCAAGGCCTGCAATTGCCCGCACAAGCTGGACAGGCTGCTGCACAGCCTGCACAGGCTCAACAGCAACGCCAGATGCAGGCTCAGTATGCTCAGCAAATGCGTCAACAGACTGCTCATCAGCAGCCTCAAGTCAAGACCGAAGGCAATGGTCAATACCCTCAGCAACATGGTGTCAGCTACTCGCAGACAGATGGTGCAGACGAAGCCGCACTTGATGAGTGGAACAGATACATAGCCGAGAGGCGCAGACTAAGCTCGGCTCAAGTCGAAAACAACGACCGTATGATGAGACGTCAAATCGAAGACCTGCAGCACAGACTCGAGAACGGGCTTTTGCTTCCTCTGGACGAGAAAAAGAGCACAGCCNGCCACAGAAAGCGTGTATCTGCACGTAGAGGGCGCGCAAGCACGGGATCGCGTCTGGCTAGCATTCCCCAGTTGGATGGCGAGATGGAGGAAGAGGATGAGGACGCCATCAACTCGGACCTTGATTCATCGAGCGACGAAGCCGGCAATAACGCTGACGAGGAGGACGAGGAAATCGACCATGTTCTTTGCACGTACGACAAGGTGCAGCGTGTCAAGAACAAGTGGAAGTGCACTCTCAAGGATGGCATCATGTCTGCCAACGGCAAGGAGTAAGTTGAGACGACTATACACGTGTTTGAGGACAGTGACTGACAAAGTTTTTGCAGGTACCTCTTCCACAAGGCTCAAGGAGAATTCGAGTGGTAGAATGCAGGCAATCTACAGAGTTGGCAGGCAACGAACATCAGATGGCCCGACAAGTGTCTTTTTGACAACACGGGAACATTCTGACTTTTTTATTCTTTTTCTTCATCAGAACGACACGAGGGAGGGACGGAATTTCTTTATTCATGCTAGATGCAGCTCGCGTACGGTTTGGCAGAGCTGGTTACTAGGGCAGGAGCGCGTAATGACAAGGATGGGACAGAGCAAAGCAGAGCAGAAAAGGTAGAGAAAACGGAAGCAATGGAAGCGAGCACGAAATAGTCATGTCGAAGAGGTTGGCGGCCAAGCAGATTCGCGAGAGTGGCAATAAGAATGAGAAAGAGAATGCAGCAAGCGAGACGAGAGACTGAAGTCCTCTAGCAGACCAGATAGAAGACAGCAATCCAAGGCAGTTTTGCAGGCAAAGATTGAGCAATTGACGGAAAGAATACAAGATAGAGTTCCCATGTTTGTCGAAGGATTCAGTCGTCGACCCCACGAAAGCAAGAGTTTGGCTCGGCCGGTCTGTTGGGCGGCGGCTGTGGTGGCACGCGAACAGGCGGAGAGTGGAGTGTCTCGCATTTAATTCTCCTTCTTCAATTTCTTGTACATACATAACCGTCGCAGCTACATTCGTTTTTCCCAGGAGTCTTTGTTTTGTTCTCGTCGGCCCTCGCGCTTCATTCTCGTATAACATCACCTTTGCGCCAACCATCGACAGTCCATCTCCAGCAGTCTCGCAACCATGAATCCAACCACGACGAAACCGACATATCTCAACTACCGTGCAGCATTAAACACGACAGGCCTTCCCTCGGGCATTCGCACCGGCAGTCCTGCATCGTCGACCTCGGCGCCAATGCTCAACAGGCTGCCTTCGGCCAATTCATCCATCCCCACCAACCCTACTGGCAACAGCATCATCCTTTACGTCCCCAATGTCGCCTCGCCCTCGCTGTCCCAACACCTCTCGGTGCTCCTCTCTACCCACCGTGTCGCTGCCGTACACTTGATAGGTCGCCGCGATGTCGTGCTCAAGAACCTGCGCACCGAACTCTATACCCTGGCTGGCAAGATGAGGACTGATGTCCAAGTCTCGATCTCCTTGACAGAAGGCGCAAAAGGGCTGGAGACGGCAGTCAGGGATATAGGTGCCAGGAGGCAGAAAGTCTTGGGCGCTCTCGTCTGCGAGTGGGATGAATTGCCCGAAGAGGAAGAGCAGGAGAAGGATATCTTGACCATTGACACAGACGAGATTGAGGCAATGTGGAAGGTGATTCTATTCTCTTGCCCATTATACACTCAGCAGCTTGCTAACACGCTGAACTAGGTATCGGTGCTCCCACTACACGCTCTGCTCCGCAACCTCCTGCCCCTCTTTGCCGACACCACTGCAGAGACGCAACCGCATCCCTCTGCCATGCCCTTCATCTACCTCGACACCTCTAGCCACCTCTCGACCTTTGCAGCCACATCCCGCTCCGCCTTGCTATCCTCCCTCACCTCCTCTCCCGCCACCAAGAACATCACCATTGGCCCTGCCAGCGAATACCTCGTACCAGCCCCCGTCGTGTCAGAAACACAGAGCATGAGAAGTCTGCAAATCGACACGAGCAATGGAGGAAGCAGCCGAGCCAATGGATACACATCCGGCTCTCCAGAGACGAGTCCGCTCTTTGGTGCTGAGAGTCCTACAAAACTCTGGGCCAGTTGGGCCGCTCAATACGAGTGATTGCAGAGTACACGGAAAAGGCATGGCTGGTTCATGCCTTTTGACAAACCACGTCGCGAGAACAGACAGCGCGCAAAAAAGGATTTATTGTTGTAGTGTTAGGTGTATATATTGCTTTGCATGCCTGGGTCAGGGAATGGAGTGAGCAAAATATTGTCTATATTGGTAAATTTGTATGAGTTTCCCGCACTTGGCTGGTGCTCTTGTATCGCCAAACGTTTCGCTTCTTCGCTAGCTCTGAATTCTGATCGAAATTTAGAGAACTGGTAAGATTGAAAGTTGCGCCAATGTGCGGGCCTACATAGGCGGACTGGAATAAGACACTGAGTGGTGGTTCATGAGCTATGGAGAAACCAGAGGATCACAGTCCCTCTTTCGCCAGCATATCTGTTCAGAATCAGTACGAAAGTATTCCACATATATTCACCAAGACTGACCAGCAATATCCAAGTAAAAGGCGATTGCGTTGAAACTATAATCGGATATGTTAGTACTATCCCGAATGCTCTCGACGAACTGCACAAGCTGAATCAAAACGTACTTTCTCTTGTTTCCAGTCAGCTCCCACAAGAACCAACGCAGCCTGTTCGTCCAGTTGATCATGTCCAGATGACTGACATCTTTGAGCGTGCCCTTATAAGTGCCCCATTTCGCACTCTTGACACTGACTAACCCATCATTCTCACCCTCCAGTTTCTGAATGATCCTGTGGCTCTGACGGAACATGCTCCAGAACCTCGGGTTCACTGTGGCACCGTACGAGTAATAGGCAATACCTTCACGATCGGGTGTTTTTGCGTTGAAGTTCTCTTGCATGTATTTCTGGGTCAGTTGGCTGAATGCGCCGGTCTCGAAGCCGAAGAACTCGAGCACCTTGTAGAGCTTGGGGACGTTGGTTGCTNNGCATGCGGGATGCATATGTCAGTGTTGATCAGAAGTAGTAGAAGGGGCCAACGCACGACCGATCCAGGAGAACATGACGTCTGCGAATGAGGAGCCTTCAAAAGATAGATTAGTAAATAATACATGTCGAATTGACGAAAGAGATGATCGTACCCTGNNGTGAGGTGTTGCGATTGTCGTCAATGAGAGCACCTTGACATTCGCTGGCTTGAGTTGACTGATCATGTATCGAGAGTCTAGGCCGCTAATAGTTGTGCTATGTCAGTCTTGATCAACGATTTGGTTTGATTTATGCTTTTACCCCTAGCGATCGGTTAGCATGAAGTTGTATCAAAGTCACCCATCATCCCTCACCATGCTGTGTCTATTGAACAGGGTCAGCTATCATTCTTTGCAATCCGACTCATGATAAACCTACGCAATAATGTTGACGCTCTTTCCCTTTGCCTTTTTATGGATATCCTCACTCAATTTCTGAGCGCGTGCTTCGATTGATCCAGATGGCGGTACAGTTGCGGTGATGACTTCGATACCTTTGGCAGCCAGTGCTTCACGGATACCTCTCCAGTACTGTATGCCAGGAGCAACTGCTTTGGGCACAATGTTGAGTTCTTCGAATCCGAGCAGTCCATGAGCTAGAATGATTGGATTCTTGGGTGTGGCTTTGCTTCTGTCAGAACCAAAAGACGCGATATCTGGCAAAAGTAACCTACCGTACTTCTCGCGAAGGATTGCATATTGATCTTCTATGACCAAGTCACCAACTTCTTCCTTGAGGCGAGGGTCTTCGGCCTTTTCCTGTCGTATCACCGAGGCATGACTGAACTGGGCAAGTCTGCTACTGGCTGAAGAGAACAGAGGACGCGAGTAGGTTGGACGACAAAGCTGTCTGGTTGACAGTCGGAGGCTCATTGCACAATTAGTTTATGTTCATGGATGGAAAAGGTAAACAAATGGTTGGAAAGTGTGCCCCGGAAATGACGTCAAAGCCGATCACGAGCATCCGTGATGGCCGAGTGCGACTTGGAATAATTGGAGTACAAGGCGGGCTTTCAATTACTAGGGCAAAGAAGAATACTACAAGTGATTTGTTGGTAGTGTCGTAGAGACTGAATATGCAGTTCAGGGGCAGGGTAATGCAACTCGGCTTGTCAGATGAAGGTCAATCTATAATTTGAGAGAGGATATCTACAGCGAGGAAAAAGCAGAGCGGTCGGAGGCAGAAGATGCGATTAAGGACAAGAAGATTATGCGACGGGCTGCTCGACTCTGTCGGGAACCTGGGGCTTGACATCGGTGACGGCGCGTAGCAGGTTGTCGACGACGGTGCTGCCCTCCTTGTCGCCAATGCTCTTGATCTCCTTCAACTTCTCGTCTGTGTCCTTGCCAGCGTCCTTCTCGGCCTGCTCGTTGCCGCTGGTGTGCTGTNNAGACGGAGTGTTAGTATGCGCAAGTGGTTGGGAGGTGCTCGCAGAACACACCTGTGTTGAGAATTGCTTGAACTCTTCCTCCTTCTTGTTGCGGTACTCGTCGATCTCCTTCTGGGCCTCGGAGCGGGCGTCCTTTACACGCTTGGTGCGGTCTGTTGGGTGCATGGTCAGATATGGGGAGTTCGATACGGGATGCGGGTGGTCGAATTACACTCTCTGGCTGCTTTGTTGTTAGTAAGGATATCGAGGACGGCGCAATGACCAAGACATACCCTGCTGGACGATCTTCTGGGCCTCGCGCTCAGCNCTGTGGGTGTGAGTAAGTAGGGGTATCGACAGAGGTGCCTGGGTCTAGCCTACGTCGAGCAGCGTTTGGATTCCAGCCGAGTTTTGTGCAGACTGAGGCAGGTATTAGCTTGTGGCCTTGTCGATCTGAGCAGCATATCCTTGAGGAAACACACCATGGTGATTGTAGATTATGTGACGTCGGCTTCTACTGGTGGTGGTCGCTGGTCGAGAGGTGGCTGTTGATGGTGACCGCCAAGTCGTGGGGCCCAAGCGCGCCTTCCGTTCGATATGCGACTGGCACTCGCTCCTTCCTGCAAACCTGAAAGTCGCCTCTCCATCCTTGCATCAAATCATGTCGACAAAAGCAAAGTTGACTCTGGCTGCCACGTCGCTTGGTGCCCTTGGTATCATCGTCTTCGTGCACCGTGGACAAAAGGTCGAGAAAGCCGTAAGTCTGCTCCTTCTTGTCTACTTTTCTCGTGCTAACTTCGGGACCAGGNCAATGCACGCAGGTGTCATTCGCGACATGGAGCAGCAAAGGATAAAGAGGGAGCGCCAACTCGACTTCGACATGCAAGCCCAGCTGGAAAAGGAATACCGCAAACTTCAATCCGTCTCTGACGGCCGCAGTCCAGAATAATCCCGCCTGCCTGTCTGCCAATGTAAAATCTCCACTCTCACAAGCAGCCCTCCTGCTGCCTGTACGCCAATAGACCCAAACCTGCTTTCGGCCCCAGACCTGCCTGCTGTCGCCGAAACCATCCGCGTCCATGGCCAATAGTCCTGATCCAATTGGGTTTCATGAATCAACTCATTCGAGAATTGCCATACCAGCAGACCCACGCCTGCTAGACTGCATGGAAGGATATCCAGGACCAAGACGGAGCTCCATAAGCTTGCTTGCGCCCCTCTATCCGCGATATATCATCGAGCTAGAAGAGGAATCCGTCTAGGACTACCAATTATACCTACAACCCACAATTTCACTCAGTGGTTAGGAAGAACGTTGTCTTTGACTGCATCTCTGCTCTCAAAATGAGTGTGCCTATTAGTGGTCTACACACGCTGTATCTCGTTGTGGGAACGGGTAGAAATGCAGGCTTTAGCACATGACGAGCATACAGAATGGCTATAGGAAAAGAGTACAGTTCTTTTTCATTACTGCTCCCATCAACGATGTTATTGTGCGTTTACTCCTTGTCAACGGCGAATTTCTTGAGGTCGTCCAGCGACACCTTGTCCAGTGCCTTCTCGTTCGTGGCGTTGAGGAAGATCNNCTGCCTGCGATTAGCACAAGTACCACGGTAGTTGAGGTCGAGTTCTGCATACTTGGGCACAATCTTGTCGCCCTCCTTTCCTCTCGCATCAAATGCCTCCTTCCAACGAGACACGCAAAGACACCACTTGCAGCCGCCCTTGAGTCCGATCTGGCGAAGGTCGTTTCCACGCTCGGCTGAGAATTTGAGGAATTCGTCCGACACTTCTGCGGCGATGCTGTGGTTTCCAGCGTCGGATGCGGGAACTTCACAATAACCGTTTCTGAGGTAGCCCGTCATGGGACTGGTGGAGTGGATGGCCAAAGGCTTCGAGAGGACTGTTGCTTTGTGAGTGCTTGTCGGGTCAAGACTTCCCATCAAACGTCACCTACCGTTTAATGATCGCGACATCTTTTGTGTATGGAGATGTTTGTGAGTAGAGCAAGATACAATTGTGAATAGACTCGTGAGGCACAGGAGATAAAAAAGTGTGAGATTCATATGAACAGAAGAGGTGGTGCTTTTGAAGCTCCAGGTACTTTGATGGATATCATGAGCTCATCGTTCGCGAACGCCAAGAGTGTCAAGCATTCTTGGGGGCGGAGTGTTTCGAAAACGACATGAGGCTCCGTCCCACGACTGTGAAGATGGGGAACGGCATTCCTACTTTGTATCGTTCGTTTCCCTGAGGATCCTGCTCAGATTGCAGAGACATTGAAGAAGCTCGTACTACTGATGATCGGATCGATTCATCTGTCCAACCTGTTGGTCAACTGTAGCTCGGGCTTCCGAGGGTCATGTCCGATATCTCTCTGGCAAGCGAGAACGGCAAACAGATTCTAGTGCCGTGTGAGCCGGTTCATCGAGTTGTCGAAGACAAAACTTCTTTGAGGAGAACTTTCGACATGCATTCTTGGAACCCATCGCCTTCATACTACCACACGGGCTCGTGCGCATAATCGACAGGATGACACGCTCAACATCGCCGTCGTCGTCGTCGTCGAACACTTTGCCAAAGGAAAAGTCCAGTGACGACATCGCGTCATCCCCACAACAACAACCACCACGAGATGAGGAAGCCGCTGAAGTCGCCAAAGAAGAGGAACAAGGCGATCCGTTTCTTGTAGGATGGGATTCAGGCGAGACGAACTACCCAATGAACTGGTCGTCTGGGTACAAGGCCTTCATCACTTTCATCCTCGGAATGCTCGCATTGGCCGCCAGTCTTGGTTCATCCATCATCTCACCCGCTGAAATGCAAATCGCCGAATACACTGGCATTTCTGGAGAAGTTGCAGTGTTGGTCATCTCTCTATACATCGTCGGCTTCGCCGTGGGCCCTCTCATCTGGGCTCCTGCGTCAGAAGTCTGGGGACGTAAAGTCAGTATGTTGCCAGCAATGGTCGGCCTTGGTCTCTTCAGTATAGGCACTGCTGTTGGCAAGAACGCCCAAACCATCATGGTCTGTCGTTTCTTCTCAGGCGTATTTGGCTCTGCCCCCGTCTCAAACGTCAGCGCCGCTCTCGGCGACATGTACTCCGCCAAACCACGCGGTACGGCTATGACCTTTTACGGTAAATTACGGCCTCGCCCTCTCGCTGCGAAACATCACTAATATTTGAATANNGCCGTGGCCGTCGTTGGTGGTCCCACGATTGGGCCGATTATTGGCAGTTCGCTTACAGTCAATGTCGGCTTCAGATGGCCTTCGTATATTCTCGCCATCTGGGTCTTTACCGTCTGCGTATTCGCCTTCTTCTGCCTACCAGAGACGTATTCTCCCGTTCTTCTCAAGAAGAAAGCACAGCGTCTACGGAATGAGACTGGCGATTCACGATGGCACCACCCTCATGAGGATGTCAAGCTGGATGTCAAATCAGTCGTTACAAAGCACCTCGCAAGGCCCATCATCATGCTCACAACAGAACCGATGGTCACCTGTATCGCCTTCTACGCTTCGTTCGTGTATGGAATCCTCTACATGACCCTGGAGGTCTTTCCCATCGTGTTCGAGCAGAACAGAGGTTGGCCTCTTATCACAAGCACCTTACCGTTCTTGGCACTTTTCGTGGGAGTACTTTTTGCTGTCCTGGTCAATTTGGCCAACCAGCCGCGATACGCCCGTGCTGTTGATGCCAACAAAGGAAGACCTGTGCCGGAAGCAAGACTACTGCCGATGGCCTTGGGTGGCGTTCTCTTCACCATAGGCCTGTTCTGGTTCGGTTGGACCGCTGATCCATCTATTCCATGGCCTTCTTGCGTCGTTGCGGCAGCATTCATCGGAGCAGGCTTCAACATCATCTTCCAACAATGTATTAACTTCCTCGTCGACACATATTCGCTTTACGCGGCCTCGGCAGTCTCGGCCAACACATTCTTGCGCAGCTTAATCGCAGGAGGCCTTCCACTCGCTGCCAGGCCGATGTTCAACAATCTGGGCGTTGGACCTGCGATGAGCATTCTCGGCGGAATTGCTGCGTTAGCACTGCCCGTGCCATTTATCTTCATGAAATATGGACTCAAGCTCAGGAAGTTGTCAAAATTCGCTCCTGTACACGAAGACTGAAGTGTTGTTTGGGATTTCTCAACCCGGATTCTCGTCCGGGGTCGCGGCTGCCTTCCGTTGATATCTAACTCAAAAGTGCTTTCAGTATTCTGACTCAACAATGAAGTCGCAATTAAAATCTCAGATCGACCGAAGAGCATTTCCAATCCTCTTGTCGGCGAAACCCCATATAAAATTCATACAGCTGGCATCAGCATCATCATGTTTATGATAATTCCGCCTGTCGACTTCCAGGCACAATGCACTCCGAAGATCTACAAGTCAGCAGCTCGATACTCAACTATCTACAGTACAAATACCGTCGCCAGCGCGCACCATGAATCATCATCCTCCTCACCATCGGATTGTCTTGCTCAGCTCGAGGAAACGAGAAGCTTGGCCCTGGAAGCACAAGGCAGAATACAGCTTCTTTGGATCGCATCGACCGACAACAAGCCACCTGCACGATCGGTGTTACCAAGTCTGAGTTTTGAAGGCAGATCAAATGACGCTTTTCGTCGCTTGCAGCGCTTGATTAACAAGCTCATTCAACATCTCAATTCCTTGCTCAGTACAAACCTGAAATTCGAATACAGTGGCACCTTCAAGCTCGATATGGTGTCTACCATTATCAAACATGAACAGAAGCGTTTAGCGCATTTCCTTGATGTGTGGGAATGCTTGGAGCCGTACTTGCAACAATCTGGCAAAACTATTCGGTCAAAGGAGGTTTACGATCTGCTCGTGTCGGTACTCGGCACTTTACGACGGCTGCAAGATCAACTGGTCAGCATACATCACGATGTTTACGATTTCCTGGAACCACAGAGTACTTCAAGGATACAGCCTTTGAACTTTGCCTTTGCAGCCACGAGTGCTTGTAGCGGATTGCAACGATGTCAAGTGCAATCAGGCTTGCGAAGACGTGGCACCGGGCTGGTGAAAGACCCACATGAGATATCGGGGTCCACATCTTTGTTGAATGAAAGGACAACCACGAGATGAGGCAAGTACGGACGGGTTTCGAGTATTGAGAAGTCATGGTTCGAGCATTGGTATGTTATTTGCAGTGAAGACATTACTGCAGCAAGCTATAGATGATACACTACATTTATCCAAGAACTATCTACAAGTCTGGTCAAAAGTTGCAGCACAAAACAAATTGCACAAAATCAGTGTCTGGAAAATACCTGCTCATACCCAACCACCAGTGTCTGTGTCATGAACTCAATGCCTCTAAGCACCGGAGACGGCTGCCCGCAGATAAGGGGATTGTATAGCACCTCCCATATTCTGAGGACTGGGCATCGCAACGTAGAAGCTCTGGAAAATCTTGCGAAGGGCCTTGTGATTCTTCTTCAGTGCTTTCTTGTTCAATGGTTGAGGTGTGTGAACACTCTTCTGCACACCGCTGGGCTGAGATGTGTTGCGCGATTTGCTTCTCGACTTGGATCGTGTTCGTCTTCTTGCTCGCTTCTGGGATGACGAGCTACGAGAACCATGACCTGAAGCTGCCTGAGGGGATGATTTGCGGGATGGGTGTGATCCTGATGATGATGATCTTCTAGCAGCAGCGCTCGAAGCAGTGGCGACGGCGGCTCCAGCAGCCGGAGGAGGAGGTGGTGGACCACCGTCTCCATCAAAATCGGCCTCTTCGTCATCCTCAGGATCTTCATCGTCCTCGTCGTCATCTTCCTCTTCGGCGACCTCTGTTGTGTCTGCGACATGTCCATCCTCGGGGGTGCCATGCTTTTTCTTGACTCGGAGATCCGTGTTGCTGACGTTTCCAGCCGGGAGACGGTTCAGTGGTGGAATGGGTATGGTGGTATCCGCGGCTATCGGGTGTCTAGCCATTTGTGTCACAGCAGGTAAATCGATGGTTCCGTCGCCAACTGGTGTCAAAGCCGCCCAATGGTTTCGAGCTGCGTAGTTTACAATATGGATTTGGCGTGCGGAATCATTCTGTGGTTGACCTCTGGCATATCTGTGCCATGTAGTTGTACCGTCCGGGCCGTGCGTAGGGGTATACATGAAGATTTCGATATCCAATGCATCCGCAACCAGTTGGAGCATGTAATCGTCGCCTNNGTGTTCATTGTTAGCTAACAGCAAATCATTTGACATGTTCATGAGCATACCTTGTTGCCTGTTTTTGATGCGTTCTTCCAGTGGACCGTCGTCGTTATTTTGGCTGTCCTGTTCCATCCGAGCGTACAGATCATGCCTCAACTGGCGTGCTGGATTGTTGGTGCCTTCGGTAGGATGCATGACGGCATTCCAGAGGTCGCGTACTCGTTCGTTCACAGGATATTGCTGTGCAAGCCTACCCGGTGCTCTTTGCCTTCCCATCCAAAGATATTGGACCGTATTCCACATGCAACGAAGTCCAGTTGGGGCGACGTCCACCTGGGTAAATCTGTGGGATTGACCGCCCATGGTGATACTTAACTCTTTCTGTTCCAAGAGTTTCGTGTCTTCGACCCACGGATCCACTGCCTTGTCCGATCTTGTGGCCCTTTTNCTTGCCCTTCTTGACGGCTCCGGTGTTCTTGTCGCCTTTTTTGCCGTCTTTCTTGCCATCATTCGACCCATCTTTGGCTGCACCGTCCTTTTGCCACCCTTCGGCGAGGCACTGGCATCTTTCTTGCCATCTTTTGACTTGTCCTTTGCTTTGCCGCCAGTTTTGAGGTCGTCGTAGGAACCAGCAGCGTCGTGGCTATCGTCACCGCCGTCCTCGTCGTCTTCCTCGTCGGAATCAACTGGAGCCTTGATGGCACCAAGAGCAGATATGATATTGTTGATGGCATCCTGCGACAATCCGTACATGCGTTGTTTGTTTGCAAGCTCGTACATGAGCATGGCTTTTTCCAGGTCCCAGAGATCTCCAACAGTGCTGAGTCCATACTTTTGGCATTTCTTGACAAGGTCGTCGCGGATAGGAGCGGGAGTCTGCTCGCCTTGGCGATTGTAAAGATCGAGCAGCTCACGAAGGCTAAGGCCGTGTTTATCCCACTGTTTATCGAGAGTTCTGGTTAACTTTGGTGATTCTCCTCTTGTTTTTGCTGCCTCTGTTGCCTTTCTGACACGTTTGGATGGATACTTAGCGAGACTCACGTCGTGGGGGTGCTGAACCTTTCTATTCTTCAACTCATCCCCGAGTTGTCTCTCCAGTTGCTTTACGATATCTCCCAGTTGCTTTGCTGATCGATACTTTCTGCCGTCGGGGAAATTTTTAGACACCTGTGAATTGCGAGTTTGGTCAGCACGTTTTCGCTAAAGAAGACAGTCTGAGACCAGAGAATCCCCATCTGCAGTTATCAAAATGCAGAGGCTCATGTAGAGCTGGATGTTGCGATTACGCACCTTCACACGCTTCTTTTCTGCGATTGGAATGATCTCTTCATCGTCTTGGATGTCCTTGTCCTTTTGTCGCTTTTCGTGACGCGTCTCATCACTCTTGCGCTCTGGAATGTCAAGATTGGAATAAAATTCATGACCACGACCAACAGTACGGATAGCTTCTTCGATGGCGTCGAGGCGATCGTCACAGCGTTGGCGCAGACGCTGCATGGAGGCCCACTCCTCATCGGGCTCGTCTTCATCCTCGTCGTCAGGTTCATGGTGCTTGGAAGGTTCGACTTTAAATCCCAGGTCTTTGATTCTGTCCTCCAGATACGACTCGAGCTTTACTCTCCGAGCGGTCTTGGGTGAGAGCTTTGGTTTCTTTGGGTTTCTGGTTCTTGGTGGCGAGTCGTCGTCTTCGCCGTCTCCATCAGTACGCTTTCGTTTGGCACCTGTTGCTGGAGTAGCTTTCTTTGCGGGAGTAGTCGGTTTGGTAGGAGTAGTTGGCTCGGTAGGCTTCGCAGGCTTCGCGGCAGTCTTCTTGCCGCCATCCTTGACGGCAGCTCCGTCGGCAGCATCAGCCTTGTTCTTTACAGTCTTGGCTCTGGTTGCACGCTTCGATGGTGGTTTACCATCCTTGTCGTCCTTCTTGCCCTTCTTAGGAGGCATTGTTGAGAGATGAGTAGTATTGGACAAAAGTGTGGGTAAAGAATACAGCGTATTTTTCTGATACCGATGGTTGGATGAGGAGTGGTTTAGAGAGAGAGCTTTAGTTATTTGTGCATCTACCTTGTCCGGACAATAAAAGTTGCAAGTCATTGTCTATTGATGCGCTGATCATGTCAATACCGGATCCGGTGTATAGTATTCTTTTGACGACAATAGCAAAAATTATGGCGCTGTATTTCTGCAACCGGCATTTCATTGTGCGTTGAGAGTCTCACTAGGTTGCTCGTTCACGAGACCAGTCTTAGACATCATATCAGTGTACGGGGTTCTCTATGCAAGGCCATTCATAGCACTCATAAAAAACCGAGGTCCAGTCTTAGAGAATGATTGTTTCCACAAGGTCTGCATTGCTACACTCGTATGGGCCAGGTAGACATCAGCATGAAGCGTAGCTGGGTGAAGAGATTCTGATAGGCCTAGACTCAAGTGAAGACTTTTCTGAATTGCTGTCAATTTTACAGTGAACGTTATGCATACTTTTACCAGACAACCACAGACAGCTTGCACATTGTCCTTATTGATAGCACTTGTACCTGTTTATGAGGGAGCTACCTCAGCGAGTGAGGCTTCACAATAGCAGGTACACACCTTGATTCCAATTATTCTAGGTCAGTGATCAAAGGTTTCCCTCAGAGTAGGAAGCCATCTTGACCATATAACTTCCAGGTCAACAATTCGTCCATCGCTTCGAAGTCTTGATAGTGTTAGCAAACATTGCTTGTCGCAGATACTGAGCCTCAACTTGGCGAAATTTGGTTCCTGCATCAGCACCCGACGCTGATGATACAAAGACATGTACCTCACATTTCCATGGCGATCCGCTCCTGTCATGCACAACCCAACTGCCCTGCATCATCTATTTTTACAGAGATTGTTGCATATTCAGGACGGCCGAGCCACAAAGTATTGTTTGCTGCGCATCGCTTTGCCACTCGCTCGAGCATCGATGAGGTCTGTGAGTGTGACTCGTTGAGTGTTCACAGAAGAGCAACAGAGACGCGTTCAAACGGTAAAAGCCATCCCCCGCAATACAGTGGTGCCATTGATATATCGTGCGGTGAGCACAGCGCCGTTGTGCAAGGCGGCCGAAGTATCCACCAGCGATCGTCATATAAAAGGGGGAGAGTCGATGAAGTGAGGCAGAAGCAGGAGCGGGTGGCTAAGTGTAGAGTACGCGTCGCACGGCAGACCACAGGACAAAGAGCAGGGAACAAAAGAAACAACCAGAAGTCGCCCACTTTTGAGTAGTATGCACTTTGTAAGAAAGTGCGGTGGAATCGGGTGTGCGGGTTCCGGAGTTCTGAGAGAGGGAGCGACGGCCACGGATGGGGCGCAAGGGACAAAACGGACGGACGCAGCAGACTTGCATGAGCCAGACTTGACACCCGCGCTCTAACCCTTTGTTTAAGATGACGACAGTCATACCTTTTTGACGCAAACATAAATGCCTTGTTCTTGTGGTCAAGCAGGGCGGATGGTCGGTGAATCTCACGATAAGCGTTGCAGTAATTGTAATACTCGTCGGTGTGCTTGTCAGAGCATAGCACATGATAGCCATCAGGTGGCTCTGAAGATCAACTCGATCATCACTGTAGGTTGCCCCGTGATGGCCGTGCGGGCCAGTCTTGCCTGTCCTGGCACGCTAAGGAGAACAAGCCTTTTATTCCCCTGGAATTGATTGGAACAACCGTGCTAAACAGAACGTCGCAAGCAAAGGAGGGAGGCTGTTGTGTCGTCAAGCAGCGTTTATTTTTCATGATGCTGACACGCGCCCGGCCACATGCACGGGTAGATGCAGCGAAGACGGTGATGTTTCTGGCGCCAATCGCCTCGGCAGACGCTGCAACGTACCTGCCGCAAGGAAAATCGGCCAACGTAACAGTGCCCCTGTGTCTGTCTGAGCCTTGGCCAAAGGCATTTATCTCGTCTCTACTCCTGCTGAAACTGCTTCTTCTTCGTCTTACAACTCCCTCCAACTCTTTTGCATCTCTCGCTGGTCAGATATACGCCGAGCTCTGGTCTCGTATTGCTGTGCAATTAAAGCTTCTCTACCAACATTCCTCTGCTGGACAATTACCTTCATCTCTCTGAGCATTCCGCTTTCAGATAACATTCCATTCGATCAACCTAGCAACAACACCCGAACCCAGCGTTGCCAATCAATCAAGACTCCATAAAGGTATCCGGTGACTACTTGCGGCCTTTTCTCTGGTCATTGGCGGCGATCGAATCTGGTACCGGAACATCTCGACATACCTAGCACATCATGTTCTTCAAACACACAGTTGCCGCATTGAGTGCGGTAGCGACTGCATTCGCTGCACCTCAGTNNAAGAGCAAACCACATGCCCAGGAGTATCGGAGCTGACCACATTGTAGCATGAAGCGTGCTAATGGCTTCAACTGGGGCAATGAGGTCATGCGTGGAGTAAATCTCGGTGGATGGCTGGTCCTCGAGCCGTAAGTCGAGCCTTATTCAAGCCTCGTAGCGTTGTTCTAACATGCTATAGGTNGGATTACACCCTCAATCTTCCAGGCCTACCCTATGTCGGAAGGTATCATCGATGAATATACTCTTGGTGAGAAGCTCGGCCAGGATGCTGCATACAGCGTCTTGAAGCCTCACTGGGACTCGTGGGTGCAGCTTGCCGACTTCGAAAAGATTGCAAAGTCCGGCTTCAACGTCGTCCGTGTGCCGATAGGTTACTGGGCATATGACAATGCAAACAGTCCTTACGTTTCCGGTGCAGCTCCCTACATGGACCAAGCCATCGAGTGGGCGAGGCAGACTGGACTGAAGATCATTGTTGATTTGCACGGTGCACCTGGCTCTCAGAACGGCTTCGACAACTCGGGCGAACGTACAAACAATATCGACTTCCAGCAAGGAGACAACGTGCAGCGCACTCTCGCTGTGCTTCAGACCATTCAGAACAAATATGCCGACTCCTCATACGACGACGTTGTCGCTGGTATCGAGCTTCTCAATGAGCCTCTATCCACTTCGTTGAATTTGGACGACCTCAAGCAGTTTGAGCGCAATGGCTTCGGTCAGCAGCGCACCGTTTCCAAGTCTCGCGTTGTCATCATCCAGGATGGCTTCCAACCTCCTAGCTCCTACAATGGCTGGTTGACTCCTAAGGACAACAATGCCCAGAATGTCGCTCTTGACCACCACGAATACCAATGCTTCACCAACGAACTGGTCGCTATGCAGCCCTGGGAGCACCGTCAACATGTCTGTAACAACGTCAATCAATATTCGGGTGCCGACAAGTGGACTTTCGTTGGCGAGTGGTCGGCAGCCATGACTGATTGCGCCGCTGCTCTCAACGGCTACGGTATCGGTGCTCGCTACGACGGCACATACCCTGGCAGCAGCTACGTCGGTTCTTGTGCCACAATAAACTACATCGATCAGTGGTCCCAGACCTTGAAGGACGACACTCGCGGATACATCGAGGCCCAGATGGAAGCATTCGAGAGCAACACTATTGGCTGGGTCTTCTGGAACTTCAAGACCGAAGCGTCACCCGAGTGGGATGCTTTCCGTCTGATCGATGCTGGCGTCTTCCCTCAACCCCTGACCGACAGAAAATTCAACCAGATCTGCTCTTCATGAATCGACTGCGTCGTTCAGAAACATTGGACCTGTGTATGACCGCCCGATGAAGGACGTATACCATCCCAGACATATGCATACAAGCGCAGGAGCGAGGCAGCATGGTCTTCGGGCTCCTATTTCGTATTTCTGACTCTTTTTGCTTCTTTTGCTCATTCAAGCATGTTTCAATACCCTTCTTCTTGTGGTCTATTTCCTCTATACTTTGCTGGTAGAGATAATCGTATTGCATAACTTCTGATCATGAACTTTGTCCTGGTGTGGTCTTTGTCTTTGTTGTGTGTTTGTTAATCCTTGTGACCAGATTCCAGAGTTTTGTGGTGCTTGAGTGCAATTGAATGTCGGAAAGCTTCTCTCAACCTGTAAGATTGATGAGTTGGAGTGACTTTTGATCACCATCACCACTCGAAAGCCCCAGGGACTTTACAGTCCTCGACCTCTGTAGCAATGTCTTTGCTCTTATCACTCTCCTTATCCACTGCACCTCTCAGCCCTACACACTCCTTCCACACCTTCAACTCTTGCGCATACAAATCCATAACGCAAGGATCACAACTACTGCCGCAGCAATCTCCCGCTGGCGGTTTAACCGGTTTTGTAGGAGATGTTGCAGCAGCAAGCAGAGCAGTCTCTCGTATTGGAGCCGGACGGGCTTTGAGAAGTTTTGTGAGGGTTGGAGAGTGGGCTTTTAGTGTTGATGTTGGGATGGTGGGGTGTGGTATTGTCATTTTTGTTGTTGCTGATTTGGAGTTGATAAAGGAAGGTGGTGATATCTTTTGGGGAATATAGTGATGATCTGAACGAATGCCGAAAAGTTATATGTATAGGTGAGATAGGAAATACAATTAATTCTGGTGAAGTGGGATTGGAAGAGGTTATGTATTTTTGAGAGAGGTTCCTTCGGCTGCTGAAGTCGGGTCTTGTCGGATTCCAATGCTTCGGGGATAACCCTGACACATGTCTAAGCATGGATTTTATTCCACCATAGTATTCATTATACATTGCGGATCCAATATGTTCAATGAGGACTAATTTCTTGAAGATTAATGACATGATACTAAGCTTGAGATCTGTTGGTTGCTTGAAACACACTCGGTCTTTCCTGACGTTGGACTTCTCTGCGAGCTTCCAAGTTTACGAAGAGTACCCATGAACCACACGTTGTGCATCGGTTCCGTCCTTTGAGCAGCCAAATGAAAGGGCCCCAAGCAAAAGGCAGTCAGAAGACAACATGATATTGTTAAAAATGCTTCGTTTTGATAAAGTTACATAAAAGTGGTTGGGCTAGGCTACTTTCTAGAGAAGAAGAACCAAGTGTAATACTGAGAAAGGAAACCAATTTGATCTCATTAACACCCAACCATCAAAAAGAGACAAACTCCCATGTTATGCGTTTGAAGATACTGCTTCCGCTTTTCTTTCCTCCGCTGCCCTTACGTCTTTCATCGTGGCGTGATGCTTCTTGTCGTCCTAAAGCGGACTCGTCAAAAGCAATGGATGCTCTGATGTTGGGTATACTGTCTTTTGTATCTCGATGGAGATGTTGTCAATGTCCTCATCTGATGCTGACACCGCTACGCTTGGTGTACATGCGCGTGGCTACGTTCATGGCTGCAAGCTCTTGGAACATGAGCTTGGCGGCGTATGGGATAATGATCTGTGCGATCTCGGTCTTGTTCTTGCAAGGTCTGCACTCGAACTGGTTCTTCTTGAGCGAGCTGAAAGTGCGTTAGCAAACATATTTAACAGAAACTTGGTCAAGAGAAGAAAAAACTTACGCAATAGGAGTCATCAGACCGCAGATCTCGCAGACGTGAACACGGAAAGCGTCCGAAACATCGAGCAATCTCTCCTTCAAGAAAGCAGAGGCACCGTGAGCGATCATACAATCGCGCTCCATCTCTCCGAAACGCAGACCACCGTCACGTGCTCTACCTTCTACAGGTTGACGAGTCAAGATCTGGGTCGGACCACGAGCACGAGCGTGAATCTTGTCGTCGACCATGTGACGCAGACGCTGGTAGTATGTGGGACCCAGGAAGACTTGAGCAGACATCTTCTTGCCAGTGTGACCGTTGTACATGACTTCGAAACCACGCTGCTGGAAGCCGTGTTGACGAAGCAAGTCGGAGATTTGAGTGACAGTGACATCAGTGAAGGGAGTGGCGTCACCTTCTTGACCACGAAGAGAACCAACCTTTGATAGCAGACATTCAATCAAATGGGCAATGGTCATACGAGAGGGGATGGCGTGAGGGTTGATGATGATGTCGGGAACCAGTCCATCGGCGGTGAAAGGCATGTCTTCTTGACGGTAGGTGATACCAATGGTACCCTTTTGACCGTGACGAGAAGCAAACTTGTCACCGATTTGAGGAATCTTAGTTGTTCGTGTGCGAACCTTGACGAACTTGAGACCTTCGACATTGGTTGTAAGAAGCACCTGATCGATGAGACCGCTCTCAGTGGAACGCAGAGGAGTCGAAACATCGCGCTTGATGTGGAACTTGGTACGCTGGCCGAGCTCTTCAGCGTCGGGAGCCATAGGTGCAGTCTTACCAATGATGATGTCTTCACCAGAGACACGAGTGCCTGGTGCAATAATACCATCATCGTCCAGCTTGTCGTATGTTCCGTGCTTCATTCTCATGGTGTCTCCGCGAGTAGGCTTCTCGAACTGCTCAACGACCGACATACCAACACGCTTCTCTTGGTCCATGTAAGCACGGTAGAACAATGAGCGGAAGAGACCACGATCGATCGATGATTGATTCATGATGACGGAATCTTCCTGGTTGTAACCACTGTAACAAGCAATGGCGACAATAGCGTTTTGTCCGGCAGGCAATTCTCTGAATTTGAGGTATTCCATGGATCGCGTAGTACCGAGAGGCTTTTGAGGGTAGTAGAGGACGTTGGCCATGGTGTCCATACGCACGTTGTAGTTGGTGAGTGTAATACCCATAGCTTGCTTACCCATAGCAGATTGGTAGGTGTTACGAGGCGACTGGTTGTGATCGGGGAAGGGAATGATTGAGGCGCAAATACCGAGAATCATGGCAGGGTGGATCTCGCAATGAGTCCAGATTCTGACGTTCGGGTTGGGCTTGCTCTTGATTCTTCGGTGAGGATCGGTCACTGGCTCGTCGTAGACAAGACCGGCTCTCATCTGGCGATGCTCATCCAGATCTTCTGGCGACATGACCATCATGGCAGCCTCCTCCTCTTCAGCATCCAGGTACTCGATGACTCCCTCGTTGATCAAATCCTTCCAGCCGTAGATTGCACTGTCACGCTCCTCTTCGCTCAGACCGATAGTCTCAGTCTCTCTTGCGTTGAGAAGGTTGGTGATATGCTGTCTGTTGAGGACGAGTTGACCCTTGGTCGGACTTGCAGGATCGTTGTTGACAACGAACAATGGTCTCATGACACGTCCAGCATCAGTGAAGATCTTGAACTCTCGCTCACGAACATCCCTGATGAGCGAGATCTCGAAGGAGATAGTGCCATTACGACGAAGGCCCTGCACAACCTTGACGAGCTGAGAAGGGTCTCTGTGGACACCGACCCACACACCGTTGACGAAGACCTTAGTGGCATCCGGGTTGTTCTTGGGCTCGTACTCCTCAAGCAGTTCCATGTTTCGCTGGTTCATGAACTCGACGATGGGCTCAGCGGGAGTACCAACACTGACGTAACACATAAGAGACAAGTTCTTTACGAGACCACAAGCTTGTCCTTCGGGAGTCTCTGCAGGGCAGACGAGACCCCAGTGAGTGTTGTGCAGTTGTCGAGGCTTGGCAATCTTGCCATCACGACCAATAGGAGTGTTCGTTCGTCGCAAATGTGATAGTGTGGACGCATATGTGTATCTGTTCAGGACCTGTGAAACACCAGCCTTGGCCGATGCAGCCTTCTTCTGATCTCCCCAGTTACCAGTGGCCAAACAGTAGCGCAGACCTGATGTGAGGATGTTTGACTTGACGGCGAGGGTAAGGTTGAAGTCTCTGCCTTGCTCGATGCAGCGGGAAAGGTAGACGCGCATGTCACGGACAAGTTGAGTAAACTTGAGACGGAAGACCTGGGCCATCAGGGGACCAGCCAGATCGAGGCGCTTCTTTCCGAAGTGATCTCTGTCGTCTTCGTCGCATCTACCGAGGGCGACTTGACACATACGGTTGATCATGTAGCCAAGGAAGAAAGCCTTTCTTGTCTCACTACCCTCTCGCTGGGAAATGTGAGGCAAGAACTCCTTCTGCAAGATGTCGCGGGCATAACGAATACGCTTTTCCTTGGTTCCCGTCTGCTGACCACGTTTGCCAATGTAATCGAGGGCATACTCGCGGTCCTGGATAACGAAAGCTTCTTCCAAACATGGCTTGATCATCTCGCGAAGCTGTGTGTCGTTTGCATCGTAGCAGATACAGTCGAGGATCTGCATGTCTGACACGATACCAAGCGCACGGAAGACGATTGCAATGGGGATATCGGCCTTGATGTAAGGCAAGGTAGCCTTGATGACACCACCCACATTTCCAGCCCTGGACTGATCGCCCTTCTGGTACCACTTCAGCTGCATGGATGAGAGCAACCGAGTACCCTTCTCAATGGCACTTCTGATTTCGGCGACAATGGGGGTAGGACTACCCTTCTTTCTGAAAACCTGGACGATGTTGGCAGCACTACGTTCTTGAGCAATCAGAACCTTTTCTGAACCGTTGATGATGAAGTAACCGCCCTGATCGTAAGGGCATTCCTGGAAGGCGTAGAGCTCCTGTTCCGAGCGATTGCGCAGAGTACAGATCTTGGACTTGATCATGACGGGCAGCTTTCCGATGAAGACACGCTCCTCCTTTTCAACAGCATCAGGATCCTCCTTTTCCCATACCAACTCGGTCTCGTCATCTTCATTCGGCACATGGTCCGGGTCGTCGTCGTGCTGTGTTGCGCCGATGCGTCTTTCGCGGGCGACCAGAACGCGGCTGGTCATGCCAAGGTAGATGGGACTTGAGTAAGTCAGGTTGCGCAGACGTGCCTCGTTAGGGTAGAGAGGACGAGTAGAGCCGTCGCCTTCGGTGATGGCAGCCTGGGAGATGGTGATGTTGCCAAATTCGATTTCGTAGCGGCGCTTGACGATGGGGTCGATCTCGTTGTCGTCTTGCGGCGCATTCTGGTCGATGACGATGCGGCCCTGTTCGGTCACAATATCCTGCATGGAGGTACCGGCGAATTCATCGAACGAGTCGAGCTGTTGTGAGACCAGACCCTTTGAGTCGAAGAAGGACTGAATGACGGTCCAGCAATCCTCGCTTGTGATGATGTCGTCCTCATCGTAGTCGTCCTGTGAGGGGCTACCCACGCCGTTACCCCAGACGTCGGCCATGGTTGAGTGGAAGGTGTGATGAGGCGGAGACGGTCGGAAGGTGGAAGGACGCGATTTGACGGCGGCGGGAGATGGGGAATGAGTGAGCGCGCGCGCTCTGTGGCGACGAGTGAGCGGCGGATGCGGTGTAACGACGCAGTGAAGCGGCGCTAGACGAGACGGGAGATGGCGTGAAGGAGGGCGGCGTGATGGAGGATGGCGAGCAGGACGGAGCTCTGTCGCGCGAGAGTGAGTCGAGATGCGGTTGCTGCTCTACAGCGTCGACGCTTGACGCTGGTCGCTGCTGCCCCCATGTCAACAGGGCTGAAAGTCGAAGTCTTGGCGTGCGTATGATTGGCTGCACGCGCCGGCTGCTGCCATCTGGCCTCGAGCATCAAGGTTGATTAACACATCTCTCTTGTTGTTGCTGTCGTAGTAGTCTGTTCAATTCACCCTGTCGCCATGTCTGTGCAACCTCTGAACGATCTCTGGGAAGCTGCTGCTGGTCAGCCTTATGAGCCCACCATTGGCAAGAACTCGCACTTTACAGTCGGCATCACTCTGCTGTTTACTGGTATACACCATCCGTCTTTGTCTGGTCGTCGGAGAAGAGGAGTCTAACGCGTGCAGNCTCTTGTTCTGTCTGGCTACTTTGGTCTGAGTATGTTACCACCAAACAACCCCGGAGACTTGTTCCTTGGCTAACACCTTTCCANNGACCCTTCGCTCAAGAACCTGCCCCTGATTGGCCTTCCTGCCTCTGTTGCTGCCGNNGGTATTGACTCTCTTCTCCATGGCTATAGCCTCCCACTAACGCCGCTCAGTTTCGGTGCCGTCTACATGATTTGCGCTGTTGGCGTCTACGTCTGAGCCCTCGCTCCTCTTTTTGCCCGCCTCCTTCTGTTTCCGCTATTCGAGATACCCATATCAAAGCAACACAGCCTTGTTCTACAACCTATGAATGCCACACATCAAGAGATAGCCGCGCTTGAGCCGTTTGTCAGCTATGAGCAAGTTGAGATCACTACACGCAACGAGTGCGAGAGCTGTCAGATGCACAAGGGAACAGTCAGGCCGATACAAAGACACGAACTAGTGCAAGTTGCGAATCGCGAAAGCACGAGGCGTGAAGCCATCGTGGTTGCCTATATAAGGCTGACTAAGCTTGGCGTCTCCAACTTCCATCTTCGAACCATCCATCTCGCGTGATTGTCATACTTTGTACATGTAAAAGCATCAGACACACTTTAACCTGAAATCCCGTGAACACCTCTCCAAAAAGGTTGCTGGAATTGAAATTTCGAAGATTTGCCGTCAATCGTGTTTCTCCCTTCATCAACATCCCCCGCCACTGCTATAACACATAGTAAAATGGCATCAACAAATTCAAGTCTTTTCAGCGCCGTGTCTCCAGCAGCTCGCGATCTGACTCTTCTCCTGAAATGCATTGCGTTTGCTTCCAAAACTCAAGTCCGCCTATCGCCCGAGGGACTACGATTTAGTGCTCAAGAGACAAGTGTACTGGAAGGCAAGCGCTTTCTCAATCACTTTGCCACATCTGTCTAACTGTGTCTAGCCTTTGTCTTTCTCTCAAGGTCTCTTTTCACAACTTGGAGCTATCAAGATCCAGAAGCTCCCGAGGACGAATCATCTGAAGACGCCCTTTCACCCNCCACTTTTCAAATATCTCTTCCTGCTTTGCTTGAAACGCTTCAGATATTCTCTCTAGGCGACAGCAACACTTTTCGGCAACAGCAAGACCCGTACGATACGTTTACCGCATTTAGACAGAATCGCAATGCAAATAACCCATTCTCGGCCTCAGCTCTAGGATCCTCTGGTCTTTGCCGCATCTCGTACGAGAATCGCGGTAGCCCTCTGTCAATACAGCTGTCCGAGTCAGACGTCACCACCAACTGTGACCTGACCACCTACGAAGCCGAAACAACAGAAGACATTCCATTTGATCGAGAAAGCTTGGCCCTCAAGACCATCATGCGTTCTGCACATCTGGCCGATGCCATATCAGAACTCGCCTCGACAAACCCAACCAGTCTCTCCTTGATCGCCTCCCCCACAGCTCCCTATATGTCGCTCTCAGCTACCGGGCCACTCGGCTCAGCCACTGTTGACTTCAACAAAGATCAAGACCCGTTACTTCTCGAAACATTTCAGTGTCCAGCTCGCTTCCGCACGACATACAACTTCCGACACATCAAGGCCGTCTACCGTGCCATGGTATCGGCCACCAAAGTCAGCATCAGAGCGGACGAGCAGGGAGTCTTGAGTCTGCAATTCCTAATCGAGGTGGACCCGACGGCACAAGCAGAACCAGCCAAGGAGGGTATCGCTTTTGTAGACTTCCGCATCGTGCCCCAGATCGAAGGAGAACTTTCAAGGGAAGATTCGGAAACCGATGATGAATAAACATATGATGGTTGTATTGTTGACAGACTACAAATTTTCCAAAAACAAACCGAGCGATGGGTAGAGTCCAGTCCAGGATAGGAGGGGATGTCGACTTCAATGTCCATAGACCACAAACAGCCAAAAAGAAAATGTGGTTGCAGCGAGTGGGAGTCGAACCCACACTTCCTCATATCCATCCAAAGATCTTATGTCAGTCAGTGTGGGTGATTGGACTTACAAACGAGCCCGATGCTTGTGTTTGCAAGCACGGGTGGCCATTCCTCTGCTCCCGGCCCGTCGTTCGAGGGAACCACGAAATAAAGGAAGATCTCTGGTGACAATGCTTGTGTTTGCAAGGCCATTTGATGGAGAGGCGCCCTACCATTGGGCCATCGCTGCTCTTGTTGGAAAGAATTCAATTCTGGTTGCTTATCATGGTAGATACTGTTACACAGTGCGTGTGTTCGAATTTTGGAGATTCCAATCTCACATTTTGTGAAGTTTGTCTTTTGTTCTTTCATCTATAGTCACTATATACAGACATCATGTCCTCATTTCATGTACGTTCTGTCATTTTTCGTCTCCAGCCCAATCTCGTTATCATTCGACGCCAAAGAAGGAAAGAAAAGGTAAATACACAAAAGTCGCTCGCTCGCTGATTACGCTCTCAGAATTCGAAAAAGAAAAGGAACTGGCAGATACCTTCGTCATCGTAGCATACTTGAGCTCAAGTTTGCCAGTCGTTTGGGGGCACTGACCAAGCTCTTGGAGCAGTGGCGGGAACGCCAGAGCCGATGAGAAGGCGGAGGTCTGCAAAGGGAGAACACCATCATCAGTGGAGGCGAGAAGGCTCTTGACGGCAACTCTTGCAGTTGCAGTAGCAGTGGTTCTGATTGATGGGTCTTGTGGAACACCTCTGGGCGTAGTCTCGGCGTCTTGTTCCATATCTGACGTCTTGCCAACAAGATATAGCTTGGCGTGATCATCATCAAGCTGCGGCTCAGAGTCATCCTTCCTCCACATTGGATGTCTCTTTCCATGGCCTACATCCATCATAGGCATTGGAACCGGTGGGATTGAGGGCTCGTCCACTGCTTGTACTTGGCTTGTTGACAGGTTAATCTCATTTGCAACAAACTCCCGTGGAGCAAGCATGCCGTAGATTGTAGACGCTAGTAATGTTAAGGCAAGGAAAAAGATGGCAAGGTTCCGACGGTCGCGAAGCACAAGGTAAAGGTAGTTGCGTAACAGAAGACTCAGTGGAACATCCTTGGCCTGGTAGATGGGTGGCAGGTCGTTGTAGGGGCCAGTTGCATGCCTGGAAACAGTGGATGGCTTTGATTGAGAGTTTGGGTTGTGCTGCTGGTCTGTAACCACCGCTGCTTGTCCTTGGTCTGGCGCCATAATTTGAGATTGCAGTTGTTGCTTCGGTCTCCCGGCGGATTGTAGTTCGTGTTTCGACCGAGTGGCAGGATCGTGGCTTCCTCGTTGATTAGCAATGTCCTCAGCCAATTGCATCTCATCGAGTCTTCGGCAGATATGTTCCGAGATGCAAGGTCGAACTTCGCAGTCAACCCTCTCCATCTCAGAGAAACAGGCGCTCCAAGCGCCGGCACGCATAAGACCATTGGCAGCATAGACTCTTGTGTACCAAGCATCACCAACATGAACTCGTTGACAGGTATTGCAGATCGACATCTCTGTCTCCTCGTCATTTGCCTCGCCTTCTGTGACCGTGTTTGGTGTCCGTGGTCTGTACTGTCCGTCGTAGCCAATACGCTCAGGAAGCAGGTCCAATGCTTCGAGCACACTTTCTTCCAACAACTCAAATTCTTCTCTTGGGTGAGCGATGAGAATGCCTCTCTGTGCCACCAGTCCTGAAGTTGCTGCTCGTAGCACACCAAACTGCCTCTTGAGCTCTGGAGGCAATATTGCATCGAGGACAGTGCGGTTCCAAGGTAGACGTGGAGGCAACACTGTGACGTGCAGTAGAACTAAGGGGGCAGGTATCTCTGGTTGAGGGCCGTAATGGACGACATCTTCCTCCCTACTTCTGGGACGGCCATCTTCCCCCCTACTTCTAGGGCGATCACCCTCGCCTCTACTTCTCGGACGATGAGAGGTGTGTCTCGGAGGTCGCAACGAAGATGGCGACAGGCGTTCAGGTAGAGGTGAGCGGCGGAGGCTTCCCACACGATAGGTTGGTCGAGATTTCGAAGTCGGATAGAAGGGTCCAGGTGCATCAGACTCAGAGGGCCAAGCCGAGTCGGGAAAAGAAGATACCGAAGTCGTTGTGATGTTCGAGATGCGGCGTTTCGGATCGTCCTTGTCGTTGTATTCATCATAGTCGTCGACTTCAATCGTGGTAGAGATTGGGCTGTCTGCCCTGTAACCGGATGAGCCTGCCATGGAGGTCCAGTGGCATTCCAGACTCTTCGACGATAGCAATATCGAAACTTTGTTCCACACAAGGAGAAGCAAGGGACCTGTTCGCGAGTCACGGAGCTTGGGGGTGGAGAGAAACGTTGTTTGTGGCAGCTGCCCCGGATGTGTTGCCACGCCAACTGAACCACGAACCATGACATCCTTTTTGGACACACCAACCGGCTCTACCTGCTCATCTCAGTTGCCATACTTTCTGAGCTGGCCAACGGCATGCTATCGTTCGTTGCACTCTACAGATGGTCATTCTATGTTGAACCGTGATTTGAACAAAATATATTTTCAATTATATCGAAGTATGAGAGCATGCATCTTCGGACACCAGTCATTAGAGTAAAAGGATCATTGCTGCCCACGTTCGGACTGCCGGAATATGCTTGATGGTGGAAAAGGAAAATTTTAAAAAGACAAAGTTGTGAATGATCGTAGTATCATGACTGCTCCAGTACTGTAATCTTTTCAAATATCAGGAAGCAGAAGGTTGGGCTGTGCCAACTTGTCATCACTTCCGCTCCAAATGCGTGCACTGTAAGCTTGTCTCGCTTGTTGCAGCTCGGCCAGAAGTTCGCTCTGTGATTCGCGTCTCTCGAATTGCACAGTGTCAAATTGAACCACGACTTCGTCCAAGCCAATCGTCGGCGTTTTTGTAGAGAGGTCGAACATCTCCAACTGTGGCTCACTGTCGCTGTTTGCCCGGGATTTGCCCTCCGAGGCAAATCCATACTGCGCAAATTCTCCGCGTACAGGAGACTGCTGTGATGAGGTGAATCCACTGTGAGAGTTAGTACCGCGCTCTGCGGTCGACAGCTTGTTCTTGTCAGAGACGCTCGAGAGATGAGTGCGGGTGCGGTCTAGGACAGTCTTGAACAATGGCCTCAAGGTTGCCATACATGCTGCTGTGATGCCCATACCGGGTTCGATCGTACTCAGGATGGCAATGCTTGACGCGTCTGAGAAGAAGGTTGTGGCGTCCTGGTCGCCAGAATGGAGTGCCTTGATATAGAAGAGGCGAACGACTGATGCCACGCTGCCGAAGACACCGATGACAAGGACAAGAATCACTGACGACTTGTCTCTGCCAGTCATGTTGGCTTTTCGGACAACCAGTATTGGAAGAGACACGAAGATCCAGTCGGTCAAAGCGTTCATAACTCCATGGATGTAGTTCATGGGGCCAAGAACACTCCATGAAATGCATTTGCCTTGCACTTTGTGAAGGAGGTATTTATCCGGAGAGCCACACTGGAATATGGCGACAAAGAAGAATCCGAATGTGTAAAGTGAGAATATGGCCGTGCTGATGATTATCGTTCGACGCTGCCACTTTTCAAGAACCTGATTTTCTTATGTCAGTACGGCCAGCCAATATTGCGAGTATAGAAGAGCTTACAATTCTTAGGAAAAAATGGCCAAAGAGATTTTGAGCACCATGGTGGTGAATATATAAAAGGCAAACTCCAGGACGACATACTACGCGTTGTTAGTAGATGCTACCAGAGTTCTATACTTCTCACTGACCTCCAGTGTATTAGACAAAGGTATCGGCCACTCCAAGTTGTGGGTTTGCTCCATCGATGCAATGTGCACAAGGAAGGCGGCTTGACAGACGAAGGACGCAAGTGTCAGTAGAATGAACCAATCATCCCAGCCCAAAGCACGAATCATGTAACCTCTGACAAAGAACCGAAGCGAGGTGAATGTGACTGTGAGAGCAAGAAAAGCAGCAGCAATGGCAACCAGCGCTTCGGAGTGGTAATCTGAGGGTGGTTTGTAGCCGGCGTCAGGGTTCCATGCCCCTGACATTCGGGACATCATATGTGATATCATAGCTATACGAGTTTTCTGCTACTCGTGTGCAGGTTCGATGTTGGGGAAGGGTCAGCCCAAAGAGAAAAAGGTGCGCAGAGTACAGGCGTTGTTGTTGTAAGAAGGTGATATACAAAAGAGCGTAACGAACAACAGCTTAGCAGTTGATGAAAAAAAGAGGGAGTGTGATGATAGCAGGCACAAGTCGCAAAGAAGCAAGAAACTCGGAGGGACAGCACATGCTCCATGTATACCTATACTCGACCCATGACTTTAGTGCTGGAAGGAGAAATGCCCTGATCATAAGGTTAGATAGCGCAAGACTACACCGTTACTGTGCTGGCAAGACATGTGCCATCCCACGTGCTGGATGCATCTGCGGTTGTTGAAGGAGGAACTGTTCGGCAACCTGAAACATTGTGGTCTGCCAGCGAAACTCTTTCTCCACCAGGACTCGCCTTAGGCATCCGAAAGCGACACTGGAGGCCACTCAAAAGAAAGTCTCGCTGGAAGAGATACCGACCTCGGTTCCCGTCTGCCATCCGAACGGCTGTGGCTTGCTGAGTTCACGAGTTTCGCTTACCCTTAAGAGCACGGCAGGCGAAGCGGTCCCGTTTCGTGACCACCGCCGTATACAGAGGATTCGGGCCCGCAGCAGTCCAAGATTTAGAATTCTATAAGCCTCTCACAAAGACCAATCGGTATGCATGCAGCATCTTGATGTGGAGCTTTACAAGCCAGCAATCTTAAATGGGCTGGAAGGACAATTTGTTTCAATCCACCCACCATTGACGAGGCGAGGGTTGGTGAGGACATTGGGATTTTATTGTCGTAGAATTCGCGGCATGTACAAAGGACTGAGGTTTGGATCGTGGTTGTTGCAGGCAAACGGTAACATCGAAAATGACGACCTCGTTCGAGGCACTGTGATTGTCGCAAACTCGAGGTTTCCAATTCCATGCTGCCGTTCAAGAAACGCGGTACCGAATTGTAACTGCTCCTAGTCCGCACGTTTATCTAACGTCGAAGGGAGGAAACTTCGAGAGCACGCGCAAGGCCAGGAAGGGAAGAACGAGAACGAAGCGTTCGGCAGACTCCGTGTCGCCAGCCAAATAGCGACCCTGTCCTCCGCAGGACCTTTGACTGAGGGACGACACTCGCTGTCAATGTCAGGCACTTATAAACACTCTTCGTCAATCATCGGATGCATATGTTCTCGGAGATGAGAACTTGAAATGCCTCCACCATCACGCGTCCAGGCTAGCGCGGCTGGTCCTCAAGCGCGGCAGAATCGAAATGCCATGGCAAGGCATTCGCTGGACAATACTGGCTTCTCCATCGACAGCTCAGAACTCCCATCAGGCTTAATTGTCGATTACAACATTGATGATCTGGTGAGACCTGGGAATATTGCAGAGCTTAGGCATGGGCAGCAAGCAGAAAATATCCATCTAGACGATGAAGATGAGGACGATGGGGATGCAGATATAGATCCTGAGGAGGGAGACTTAGGTAAGGCACATTCTTTTTCTTTGGCCCGCTGTGCGTGCTAGTTTTTCCCTCCTGCTGTCTGTGTTTGCCAAAACGTGCATCCGGACACTACACCTTCCCTGGCATACTAGTGCACAAACATGATTGTCAAAATATATCACGGTTCTACATTTGTGGCCTCGGCTATCGAGGGTAGCTCTTCTCCGGACTCCCATCAGAACTGCCTTGGTTCTAGGAACGTGTTGCGCAACCTGGCAGTCACGCATTGGACATTCACTTCAGATGAGATGTCCGTTTGCAACCAGATTGCACCTTGTTTCTCGTTCGTTAGACGCTGCGCAGACGCATCACGCTCTTCTTGCACTCGACAAGATCAATCGCACAGCCGCAAGCAGTCAATCCCATCACCATGTCATCAGACATCTCAGATGTTGACTCGTCTGTTCTGTCATACCGTTCGTCTGTCTTTTCATGAACAGCGCTATCCTTTTGTTCAGCATCCATCCACTATATCTCAGCCATGCCACGCGCACACTCACCTTTATAAGACATCACTCCGAGATTGCAGAGAAGTCTAACAGATGTTCCAGATGGCGCACCTTCAACGACCGGCGATCCGTTGCCTCCATGCGGATTGAAAGAGATCTCTTCGCTCGCATCCTGGACTGTTAGCACCAGCAAACCCGGCTGCGGTGTCGCTGCCCTACGCCACTCATCCACTTCTCTCTTCTGGCAGAGCGATGGCCCGCAACCTCATCTCCTCACCGTGCACTTCTTCAAGCAAGTCGCCGTTGCTCACATTCGCATCTACCTTGACTTTGAAAACGACGAGAGTTACACACCCACCCGCATGCAGTTTTGGGCTGGCACTGGTCTCCACGACCTCATCGAGTTTGCCGATATGCAGTTTGAGCAGCCTCGTGGTTGGATCCCTGTCGACTTCTCTCAGGTCGGACCCATTGAAGATGAGGACAATGAGGATCCCGAATCTATCGATTGGAGCAAGAGACCTCTGCTTCGCTGCTTCATCTTACAGGTCCGCATCCTTGAGAACCACCAGAATGGCAAGGATACCCATCTTCGCGGTCTGCAAATTTTTGCTCGCGATGAGAGAGCCGAGGAGAACACTGGCCTGATGGAAGACGATGCTGATACCAAGGAGGGTGCTCGCACCGACAGAATGGACATGCCTGTTCGCTCCAAGGAGAAGCGCAAGCGTTCAGAGGGTCTGCCCAAGCTCAAGAAGGCTTCGTTCATGATGGAGCCTGAGTTGAGATGAAGTCACGGTGGTCGATCCGAGTTCCGACACAAGGTCACAATCATGACTTGCTTCGCCATTGATCGCCGTTAGAGCAGAGCATGGTTGGGTTGATTGGCATGAAGCAGGATAGCAAGATTGTCAGGCGTTGGTCACCAAAGCAAAGAGGCAAGAGATTTGATTGCTCCTGTTCTCAAGAATGTGCCGCTATGGGCGGCAATTAGAATTAACATTATGGAAAATCTCTTCCTAGTGTATCTGCGTCTCAGACGCGATCTAGTACGTCCACTCTGTCGGTCTATTCCTTTACGTCTGGATCCAGTCCAACGAAAAATGACAAATGAAACCCCCCCCCCCCCCCAGGATAGCACTCGATAGGCAATGACACTAACAGCAGCCCTTTCGTCTGGGTCCATCAAGTCTGAAAACCTCTTCCCATTCGCGCAGGCCGGAAGCCCACTGGCCTGTACCCGCCCTCTTTCGCCGTCTTCTAGGCCCATCTATGCCACTCTTTATACTGCTTCCTCCATCGTCGATAGCCCAGGATAAGCTGTCGCCGTACTGGATACCAGAGAGCGGATCGTCAGGGTCAATCTCTCCCAGCTCAATCTTCGCTAGAATCATACGAGCGAGACGGTTGAATAGCTCATCCACGCCATCACCATTGAAAGCTGATACCTCAACAGAGAGGGGGATGGTTTGTGAAGTCGCCCATTGTGTCGCTTGGGTAGCAGAGACTTGCCGACCGTCGGGCGCAAAGGTAGCGCGTGTGCCGTTGCCGCCTCGTGGTATTGTGCCTCTGGAAGCAAGGCTGTCGAATCTGCGCGAGTCGTAGCTCGACGGCGTGTGACCAGATGGCGGTGAAAGGGTACCAAATTCGTCCATGTCTTCGTCGCTTTCTGCATCACTGTCGACAGGATCGGCAAGGTCGGCCTTGTTGCCGGCCAACAACAAGGTCAACTGCGGACTTGCCAGGGCGCGCGCATCATTCAAAAAGGTGCCCAACTGTGTAAAGCTATCCCTGCTCGTAATGTCGTAGACCAGAATTGCGCCAGCGGCACCACGATAATAACTCCTGCTCACACTCCTGAAGCGCTCGGTGCCGGCGGTGTCCCAGAGCTGCAGCTTTATTCTCTTTCTGCGGTTGCCGTCACCGACTTTTACAATCTTTGTAGCGAACTCGACGCCGATGGTCTGTGAGGAGAGGATGCGCCAGGACGAGTTGACGAAGCGGTGGAGGAGGCAGGATTTCCCAGCTGACGAGGGGCCCAGGAGGATGATCTTTGCGAGATAGTCGTACATGGAGCCTAACTCGGACTCTGGCGGGAGCGAGGTGTCGGGCGCTGTAGTCGACGCGGTTGAGGGACGCCGTTGTCGCGCCATGGCTGTGGTTGTGTGTATGTGGTGTTTATGGGAGGTCGAGCGTGTTTGTATGACCTTTGTGGACTCGGGAGATAAGTGGATTGTTGGCCGATGGGTGTGTTACGCTTTCACGTGAATGTTGGATGGCTGAGGATCAATGTTGGATGGGTGCGAGAAGACCAAGCAATTGAATGTGGTGCAGAGAAGTCGAGGCAATGTCGTAAGATGTAAAAACAAAGGGCGTAATCAGCGAGATGAAGATGACCAAATTGCAGTGGCCTGTTTCAGCCTGCTGCTTCTACAATCGTCCCCAGACTTTTGTTGAAAGAGCGGCGCCAAAGGCCATCGGATATCGCCGTTTTCTACCAAGACGCCCATGGGAAGAGAGAGCTTTGAGCTCCAACTTTCCATCTTTTTCTCTCCCTCAACAAGTTCCAGTGTTTGTCAACGACATGTCTGTTCTGTTGCACGCCTCTTCTGCTTCGTCGACCATCTCACGTTTCATTCTTACGACTTCCGAGGCGGCTCGGCCATGAGCTGTCGCGTGCCCATTGTTCGAACAAGCAATGCACAGAGCCTGGTCGTCGAAAGAAGCAACTCGATGATGGTTGGCCGCATGCCTCGGGTCGTCTGAGGCTTGTTGGCACTAAACACGACAGAAGCATGCTACGTAGCCTGGTATTGGTGTCGTCGACATCTCGACATCATCGGCATCATGTCCTTACACTTCCGTTGCCAAGGCCGGCATTTTCAATGAAGTCATATTTGATCGGGTAAGTGGTCGTGTGCGCTAAGTCCGTCTTCACATGCCTTTTCTTCCAAAGTCCATCTCGCTCGCTTTTCCGATTCACCTCCGCCCTCCTTCCCTAGTCTTGTTTGTTGCGAGTCTCTTCTCTCCCTGCTGTCTCCCGTCCCTGCCATCACCATCTCTCCTACATTACTTTGATTGCAACCACCGCCGCCATGGTGGCCTTCTTCTCACGCCTCAACCCGACTCCGGCATTCCCGCAATATCCTGGCCCTCATACCGTTGGTACAGTCGACGTCGAGATTCCAGCAGCCGAATTGTNNTCCTCCACCACCGCAGCCCCTGCCGACGCTGCTCCCACCGTATCCTTCAGAATATTCTACCCCTGCCAGAATCAGAAAGAGAGCGCAAGGCCTGTGAGATGGATTCCCTCGCCACAACGGCCTAATCTCTCTGCCTTTGCCCGTCTGCTGGGTGCTGGTTCACGCGCCTCCGACTTCTTCTCCTACTTTCCCACCATCCTCTACTACATTACCATACCTGCCCAGCGTAATGCCCCTCTGCTCGCCCCACCCACCACCAACAACAGATGGCCCGTCATGATCTTCTCCCACGGACTCGCTGGCAACCGCAACCTATACTCGCATGTTTGTGGATCTATGGCTTCGTACGGCCTTGTTGTCATCGCCATGGACCATAGAGATGGCAGTTCGCCCGTTCAATACATTCGTGCGACCTCGGACACTCCCAGCAAGATTGTCGATGAAATCAAAATCTCACACTCGCCCTCCCCCGAAGTCTACGCCGCAAGAGACAAGCAATTGCGCATTAGATGCCACGAAACCTCCCTGATCCACGCAGCACTACTCAAAATCGACCAGGGTGAGAAGGTGAACAACTTGGATGACAACACTGCGCAAACCAAGAAAGAGCGGGTCGAAGTTCTGTCGAGATTTGCTGGTCAACTCGACGTGCACACACCTGGCAAGATCACCTTTGCCGGCCACAGTTTTGGTGCTTGTACGACGGTCCAGTTCCTCAAATCAGTCTTCTACGCCAAAGAACGCCCGCAGAGCGCTCACTCTCCTCTATTCGTTCCGACCGACTCTTCCTTGACCCGCCAAGTCACTCCTGCCTCTCCAGTACTATTGCTTGATCTCTGGACTCTGCCACTGCGCAGCCCCACCCAATCTTGGCTTCGGGACCGTCCTCTGCCCTCATACACTGACACCTCGGTTGGCGGCAAGAATATCCTCAGCGTCATGTCACAAGCCTTCTTCAAATGGACTGGCAACTTCAACGACGTCCGTCGAGCCATCGCACCACCCAGAAACTTCTCTGGGCCCAATCCACATCTGTTCTACCCAGCTACCAGCCAACACTTTTCACAATCCGACTTCGGCGTGCTGTTCCCTTTCCTCACCAGCAAATTGCTGAAGACCGAGGATCCAGAAAGACTACTGTTGTTGAACACTCGCGCCATGCTGCAAGTTCTCAGGGATATGGACATTGAGGTTGCTGATGTCGGCGAGAAGAATCTGGAAGGCGAGAAAGAGGAGACAATTTTGAAGCCAAGTGGTACTGGGCAGGAGACTGTCAAGGGCTGGGTCAGAGTCGCTGTTTCCGATGCCGACAACAACGACTCGGGCATTTCTATTGAGCAGGACAAGAAGCAGAAACCTGCTGACGACTCCGAGGGTATGGAAATGTAGACATGGGCTTTTTTTCTTCTTTTTCTGTTCCTTCTTATTCCCCTGCTCTACAACAGCTTGGCGTTGGTCTTACTCTTTTCTGGTTACACAGTCGCATAGCATTTTCGTTGTTTTTCTCCCTTTTTTTTTTTTTTAGTTTAACAGCCGCCAATCAGGATGGGGTCGTAATGGTTGGAAACCAGTGGCAGGCGTCCAACTTTTGAAGTTTTAGAGTGTACATACAGTTTATGATATTTCTTTTTACAGATTAACACTTGTCTCCCTGTTCACAAAATCTCTGTCAACCTTCTGAGTGGTCTTGACGACGCTTGCTCCCGAGTTGCTATTCTTGGCTTGCGTCGCCCAACCGCTCCACCTTCCACATCTTCTAAGCGCCCAGGAAATCTCCATCACACCTTCCTCGCCAAACATGTACTTTCAGTCGAGATTTTGGAAAGCACAAGTAGATACGGTTCATAGTTGAAACACGGTACGTATTTGTCCGTTTTGTGAAGTGGGCGTCTTGAGCAACCAACCACAGCACATGTAGCACGATTTTGCTAAAAATGTGTCTGCTCCGCACTGTGTCCAGCGGTTACGAAGGTCTACTTGCGAAAGGAGAAGGATGATTGTCAAAACCATAAGAGAGTGTAGGCCGCGACCTTGTCGAGGACATGAAGACAACTCTTTTCTATCCGCTTCTTATCAATACCATTTTCTTACAAGCACTGGACTGCTTTGGACATAAATTTCCATCATTGTCATTCTCTCCTTGGTTATACCGCTGGTTCGGACATTCAGGAACTTCTCATATCATACACTTCTCGGTTGCAACTTAAGCTCCCCAGGATCTCTCTTGCCAACCAGCCAGACAGCACCTGCAAAATCTGACAATGGCCCTGAGACCAATTACTCGATCACCTCTTTTGCTCTTGACCCTGAGTGTCTGTCTAGCTCTACCCATCCTGGCCATCTCAACACACATCTTGTCCATCTATCGTTCCGAACATGCGACTAATCCATGGTGGCTACCCATCTGGCACGCCCACTTCAACACCCATGGTATCATCGCCGTCATCATAACTTCTTGTATCATCTTCGCCTTCGATATCGTTTCCATCGGTCTGGTGGTTATGGGGAACAAGACTGACGATAAGGTGAGCGATTGATTTCTGCTTCACGTAATAGAATATCTGGCTGACGAAGAGGATAGANGCAACATGATCAAATGGACGACGGTGGTATTCATGCTGGCAGCTACAGTGGCTGCGCTCATTGCAATGATCATGCCTGCTGTCGCCAACGCTGCGGCTCCTAGCAAATTCGACACCGTTCAGACATGGACGTGCCGATGGAGAGGTGCTGTGGGAGCACCCGAGAACTTTGAACCACTGTGTAGGAAAAGTGTATGTACCGTACCATTCCTGGCCTCTCACCAGCCCATCTTCCGCCTCGTTCTTTCCTTGATGATTAATCTTGGCTGACATGGAATTTTAGNNCAATTCTCTTCTTATGCTCCCATCCCACTCTTCATCATCCACCTTCTGCTCTTGGTCCAAAGCATTCAAGACGCTGTTGCTACTCCTCAGCAACAGCCGACCACATTTGACGAGGAGCTGGTTATCATTACCAAAAGCGTCGAAGTTGCTACGACAGCTTCAAACGAGAGTCCACGGATCAAGTAACAATATCAGAGATAAAATCAAAGAAAGAAGACTTGTGATTGAAGATAAACAAGAAAGAAGGTACAAATCAGCCGGCTGCCGGACTTGCTTCATTCAGTCAAAGACCTCTCTTTGACAGGCTCAGATAGCAGATCGCTTGTTCGTATAGCATGGACAACGGTAACCAGACTTGTCAATATTAGTGCTGAGCCTCTGTCTGCCAGAGATCCTTCCATGCCATCACGACTTTAATTATACTGAGATGATCCCAACCTGCGCGCAGAGATTGAATTCGTGATCATTGGCACTGTTTTAATGTTAGCTCGATATACCAGTGAGCTTGCTTTCGCATCCATTCGACCTTGTGATTCTGATCTTCCCTGCTGATTGCCAGAACTTCCAGTTTGCATACGAAGAGCGTCCTGTAGAGGAGCGAAAGGCGAAACAAAGAAAATCGTTCGCATATCGGAGCATCCGTGGGTGGTGCACTGAGTGTTATGCCTATGTTTCGACCTACGCTGTATTCGTGGAGGAACGAAAGCTATTCATGCACCATGCCTCGGATGTTGCTGCCAACAATACATCTCTCGCGGTAACTGAGCCAAAGATGGTCCTTTGTCGTTTACAAGGCGACGAATTTGATTAGACTTGCCTTTGAATCTTTCTTGCACGGCACGTTGAGGCATCTTGCACGAGCGACTCTCCGAGAAAGCGAGAAAGGCTGGTAATTCCAGGCGAGGCAACTTGGTAGGTCTTGGATCGGCGAGACCATGGTTCCAAGGAAGTCTTCGCTTGAGATGTGAGTTTGGTCCAACTATGCATACCCTGGGGCGCGGGACCGTCTCCTTCTTGGCAGGTTCGTCCTCGACGCGACTGAGCACAATCACAGCATTGCCCCGAGGTATCCTCAACAAGCTCCCGTCTCCGAATCTGGCGATGAACTTTTTCTTGGGAACGTCTAGAAGATTGTACAATACCTCTGCATATCCTCTGGTGTCAGCTTTGCGCCAGGCTTTGTCGAGTTTGAGCCCCTGTTCTCCAGTAACGGCAGGCTTGCCTTTGCGCAGTATCTTGATCGTCCAGAACTGCTCAGGACTGATGAAGCCGGTGGGGATGGGGTAGAGCAGACGGAGACGCTTGACAAAGCCTTTGAGCATGCAGTCGACAAGATCGGCGGCGAGAGATGGCGTGATGGCTATGCTGGCGTCTTTGTCGACCGAGACTGTGGCGGGTGGTTCAAAGGGCATCCTGATGGTAAGCAAGTCGAGCTTATGGCGAGTAAGAGACAGATGAATATCGCGTGGATGTGGTGTTTGTTTTTGAAGGATGGCTTGCCAAGGTAACGTCTCGAGGCGCACTTGTCGGACGTCGCGTCTGATACTAGCATTGAATCTGTCGATGCGGTTGAGACTCATAATGTCCGTGATGAACTCGTTGGATGAGTAAAAGATCGGAGCAGTCTCTGCATACATCTGCTTGTTGGTTAAAAAGAGTCTTAGGTGAAGCGGGTCGCAGCGAGTGTCGTTCATGCTATGCAGGGGTGAGAGAAGAGAGTGTACACCAAGAAGTCCAGCATCTGGCTTCTCCGGCTCTGTTGGCCGCCTGAAAGGCACATTGTCGACGATCAGTGACTCTTTCCATATCATGTCACGCAACTCTCGAGGGAGGCCACGAAAGGGCTGCTCATATGTGCGGTCCATCGCAAGTGTCGGCGAGAGACTTGTCCTATTGTGGTGAGTCAGTCTTCAGCGCGCCTCCGTCGGTCCACCCTCAGTTGATGATGATGGCGCGTATGCGAGATGTGATGGATGGAGCGAGCTGTCTTGGTTGTTGTCTTGGTTTGGAATCGATGCGTACGTTCGGCGTTGGGATTTTGTCGAAGTTAGCAACAGTAAGCGCGACATCAATTGTTGCCAACGCTATCCGAACAATGCAGGAGTACTTTGTTTGGAGAGTTCCTTCCTTTGCCATCAGACACTGTATGTCTCGAACATATGTCTTCTTGTTATGGCTCTGAGATTCCAGTATTCACCATGCTCAGGTGACACCACAAGGCAGTTGTCTTTGTCTCTTTGTCGTCGACAATGTCTTTGTGTGTCCCACTCGTCGGTCGAAGGCTGTAGTTGCTCACATGCTGTTTTGTATAAGTTGGTGGCTCTATCCTAAGCCTGAATACTAATATCAAACCTACATTCGTCATGCACAATTCTCTCTACATTCTTGCACAACGTATAAGCAAACTCAGCGTCAGGTCTTCTCTACAGCCCGACGACCGGCCTATCAACAATGTATCGAGTAAACCCTCACCACCGATGCCTAATGGAGTTCGAAGAACCAGAGACGGTATACCAGTAATCTCACTACCCATTCCAGGCACCTTCGTGGATCTATGTAAGAGTGAGGTGTCACAGGAATATGTTCCGTCCAATCGCTCTCTTATGAGGAAACCATCCGAGATGCCGTTATCATGTCACCCCCCATTCCAACCATCATGGATCGAGGTACAGCCTCTTCGCGCTCACGTTGCCGAACGAAATGTTCAGCTCAGGTCCGATGTCAAACATAGCAGTACAAAAAAGCATNCATCATACATGGAGCCGCGTCAAGCAACGTCCACCCGTCCTTATCATGGTGTGATACTGCCCCCGCCGCCTGCTGTCCCGACCTCGCACAGACATGGCAAAAAGTCCTGCAGTACGTCTCCAGTACCAAGATTGCAAATCACGATGCCGACCAACTTCTTCGACCAGCCTATCGCTCCACTAACGCCATATCATCGTAAAGATGCGATTTCCTGTTCTATTCGATCGTCATTCACTTCTGAAGCTAGCTCGACTCCAAGGTATCCTACAAGGGGCAACTCTGACCATGGCTACATCCCTTTCCCACCCGCTCTTCGCGACTCCTGGGCCAATAGACGCTCTTCACATGTCATCTTGGCTGACAATTCGCTTCAGCTCAAAGTCTTCTCCGAACTTGGTGTTGAGCTTGATGCGGTTATGGACTTATACACCCCAAGAAAAACAACGTGACTTGCATATCAAGCACCAAAAATACGATGTGTGTAGAAAGAGTTGTTGTGTGAAATCACACATCGGAGCATGGTGTGTCAAGCAATACAGCGCCCGACTGGCCCGGAAATGATACAAGACAGTTACTCAATGTATGAGAAGAGGCGATGTATTGGTTCATAGATTGATTTGTTGGTTGAATATCTAGGGTCCTTATATACTATATCTGCACATATCTTTTGAAAATGGATAGAAAGGAAATCGCTAACTGGGATATTAAACAAGAGTCGTGAGACCAAAAGATGAATAAACAGAGTTCCTCTCCCTGAAGAAGCATAAAAATCGTTATGCGTGGATAGCACACCACCTATTCAGACTTCCTCCTCCTTCATGGTGGACTGCGACCAGCTACCAACGGGTGTCAGGTCACGCATGTACTTGCCAAAGATGGCAGTCTCAATGTCTTGAGCCTCGGGTCCAGCCTTCGCTGCCTGATGGCGGAAATAGATACGCTTCGCCCACTTCCAGGACTCGATACCGATGAAGAAGATGAGGGTAGCGATGAAGACAATGCCCCACTCCCAGGAGATGCCAGTATGACGGAAGACATCGTGGTTGATGACAGGAATGTAGAGGACTGGGAAGATGAGGACGAAGCCGACAACGACGGCCGTGAATAGGAACTTGTTGCGCCAGACATCGAACATCCACTGAGTGAAGTAGCGATCGGAGTCGGGCTTCATGCGGAAGAAGCTGCGACGAGGGTCAATCATTTCCCAAGCGAGGAACAGCGAGAACCAGGTCAGTGTAGCAAAGCAGGTCGAACGGGCACGGAAGACAACATCGCACTCGGGAGACCAAGAGGCGTTGCAGCCAGTAGCAGGGATACGGCCAATGTTGCCATCCTCGAATCCATAAAGAACAAGGCAGAAAGAGCACAAACAAAGCGCTGCAACCCAGAGGCCATAGACAAGCATGTCGATGAGAACCTCAAAGGTGAAGACACCGCGCTTGAGACTTTGAGGAGGACGGCGCATGACATCAGGCACGGCTTCCTCGAAACTCAGACCCATGTCAGGGAAGGAACTGGTAATCATGATGATCCACATAATCTCGACAGGCGAGATGGGGAAGACCGAGAGGTCGTCAAGGTCTTTGAAGACAAGGCCAATGAGTAAGATACAAGCCTGAGCAATGTTCTGGGAGAGAAGATGGAGGATGAACTTTTGGATGTTGTCGAACATGCGGCGACCTTCCTCAACGGCGTTGAGGATACTGGCGAAATTGTCGTCTGTCAAGACAATATCGGAGGCGTCTTTTGCAACGTCAGAGCCGGATTGTCCCATAGCGATACCGACGTCGGCACGTTTCAGGGAAGGTGAGTCGTTGACACCGTCACCGGTCATGGCAGCAAAAGCCTTACGTCTGTGTAGAGCCTCGATCATGCGGACCTTGGTGTTGGGTGCGCAGCGAGCAATGACTAGTGGAAGAACAGGGAGAGCGTCGATTTCGTCGTCACTGAGCTTGTCGAAACCGCTAGCCTCCATGACTATAGCGTCTAGGACCTCTTTCGACAGATCTTTCATATGAGTAGGCAGGATACCGACATCAGCAGCAATTGCTTGCGCAGTACCCTTGTGGTCACCGGTCAACATATGAACAATGATACCAGCCTCGTGAGCCTGGCGGACTGAAGAGGCAGATTCAGGGCGAGGAGGGTCATAAAGGCCAACAAGACCTCGGAAGGTCAGACCATTCTCGATAGAGTTGCGGTCGACCTCCTCATCTTTGTTGATTTCACCTTCAAAGTCCTTGCTGGCCAGTGCCAGACATCTCAAGCCAAGGGAGGCGATAGCTTCCATATTCTGCAAGATCTCCTCTTGGATAGCCTCGGTCATCTCGACTGCTTTGCCAGAGTCGTCTTGGTAGAGGTTGATGCATGAACCGATGACGCGTTCAACGGCACCCTTTGTGAATACCTGCTTNTTGCCGGTAGCAGCTTCCTCGAAAATAACAGACATCTTTTTGACGTCAGAATCGAAAGGGAACTCGGCAATCTCCTTCCACATGGGGCTGTTGCCAGAAATGAAAGTCGATCTGTTCCAGCCAAAGCGAGCTGCAAAGACCTGAATAGCAATCTCAGTAGGGTCTCCTCGAGCCGTCCATTTGTCGTCCTCGTCTTTCTGGACAATGGCCAGGTTGTCCAAAGCAGCTACTCTGAGGAAGTGTGCCAGATGTTCATTGTCCTTGAGTTCGTCATCATAAGCAACAACGTCGTGCTTCTCTTCTCCGGCTTTGATGTTTCTTGGTTCTTCAGGACTGAATTGGAGGTCGCCGACGGTAGGGTTAGAGGTCTCATCGGTCTCTCCGATCGAGTATGTGCCTTTGGCAGGGATCCAAGCCTTCTTGGCCATCATCTTGCCCTGAGTCAATGTGCCAGTCTTGTCGGAGCAAATATCAGTAACGCCGCCGAGGGCCTCGAGTGAGCGCAGATTTCTGACGATGACATGACGCTCAACCATTCTTCGGGTACCAGCAGCCATGCAGATAGTCAGGATAACCACGAGGGATGCGGGGATCATACTGAGACCAGTGGCAACGGCATAGATGATGACTTCTTGTTGGCTGCTAAAGTTGTTGGCGGCTTCGACGATGATAGCGCAGATGACAGCAACGAAGAAGAGCAGTACTGCGAGCCTCGAGAGCTGCTTCTGAAGAGGCGTTCCAACGTTGATACCGAGGAAGCGACCGACGGCATCCGAGAAGGTCAAGGTCCACGCTTGAGCGTATCTATGAGGCTTAGCGGAGCCATCGGGCTTGCGCTTGACGGGTCTGACTTTCGAGTCTTTCTTGCGAAGTGCTGCGGCGATCGATCCGATCTCGGTGTACATGCCAGTAGCGTAAACAATGCCACGAGCGCGACCTTTGGTAACAACCGAGGAAGAGTAGGCGACGTTGAGACGGTCACCGGGTCCAGTGTCCGCATTGAATATGGCTTCGGCGTCTTTTCTTACGGGCAAGGATTCTCCAGTCAGCAGGGCTTCGTCGGTCTCGAAGTTGACTGCTTCGATGAGTCTGACGTCCGCGGGTACTGTGTCGCCTNNAGAATATGGTCAGTAAGGGAGAACGCCAACGACTCTACCGAACCACTTACCAGTCTTGATCTCAACCATATCGCCAGGGACAATCTCGACTGTGGGGATGTTGACGGTCTTTCCATCGCGAACGGCGTTGGCGGTGGGAGAACTAAGTGATTTGAGTGAGTCCATGGTCTTTTCGGCCTTGAACTCCTGCATGAATCCGATGACGATGTTCAGTCCAATGACTGCTGCAACAACGCCGCCTTCGATCCATGACTTGATGGCAAAACTAACGACCATGGCCATGATGAGCACCTGCTTTTGTCAGCAAGACCGAATCACTACACATCTCCTTGTGCTACATACCAGCGTCATCGCATTTGCAATCTGACGAATAAGAATCTTTCCAGGTTCAACACCACCGGCGTCGCCAAGTTCGTTGCTTCCATACTTGCCGTGTCGTTCTTTGGCTTCTGTTGATGAGAGACCGTTCTCGGCGTTAGCCTTGATGTCATCTGTGACTTGAGTGAACGTGAGTGCGTGGGCAGGCTTCGAGAGGCCATTGCCGTTAGCCTGGCCTGACACGTGCTGGTCGAGTGTTGTATCTTCTTGCTTGCCCATGTTGCGGATTTGGGCATAGAGAATGGTAGATGGTCAAGTACAATGACGAGAGGGGGCCCTTGCACGTCTTATATGTGGTGTGATCGAGTTAACTCTCCAGCGGAGAGTCANATCCCACCCTTGGCACCCTTATCATTCCTCTGGATGTTTATGCCGCCAAGCGACGACACGTACAATGGTACCCACGTTAGAGGCATCTCCGTCATCCTTTTCTGGTTCTCTTCCTCAGGATAGCCTTGGAAGTTGTAACTATTGTCGAGATGTTGAGTCAATATCCAATAAGGTGTCGCATGGCTGGAACCATGTTGCATGGCACCAAGAAACACAAGAAACTGCCTTGGCATCTGTCATTGACCTACCTGTTCGTCATCTGTCGCAGTGCAGATAAGCACCGCCTAAGCGTGTATTACAGTCAAAAGGACGCGGATACTTGCGTGACTAACTCTTGTTGCCCGATATGAGTGTGTCAAGTTTGTCCAGTATAGCTCGTGGTGAGCAGAAGATGATCAAGAGAGGTCGTCCCTGGGTCCAAGACTGTCCAAGACCCTGTGAGCGCCAAGACCAGCTCCGAGCCCGCGGAGTTTTGCTTTTGCCTTCGCCATGGAGAGCAAGCCGGGGTTACGGTGCACGTGCCAACCTTGTGGAAAGATACGTGATACTATGAGCCGAGTCAACGACTGCGAAGGAAGGCGATAGTAGCGACGACAAGACCAAGCCCAGGCTGGAGTTGGCCGATATCCGGCTGCACCACTCGGCGTGCAGTGTTCGAGGATGCGTAGATATGCAGAAATGATGCGAGAGCTTCTCTTTTAGTTCTGCGGTTGGTTGATGAACATGTTGCTAGGTTGTAGTCCGATCTTGACAAGCTTCTCTTGCGCACGTGAAATGCTTGAGGTCAGAAGAGAGATGAGATGGACAGTCGATCCGGAACTGTCAAGCACGGGGGCCAGCAAATCGCAAGAAAACGGCTCTGGTTGCGGAATACCTCCACCTCAAATATCCAAGGCCTTGCGCGATTTTTGATATGCCGCAGGGCAGTGCAGAGGCCTCGGTGTGATGAAGGCTGGTAGGTATGACTTCAACTTGGAGGTAGTTATCAGCATGTCTGCGTTGCTTGTAGGCTTATCAGCAGCGCCGATGAGGCAGTGTGACGATGTTGGTAAGATCAGACAGGGTGACCGATTGGCCTGGGCGGTAAGAAGTGGCTCTTAGAGCGGTTATGAGTTGACCCAACCTCGAGCCTTCCCATGTACAAAAGTCCGTAACCTTGCCTGCTCCCACTGCCATTCGAAGGCATTTTTGGACTGTAGAAATGCACAGTGTTCTCCAAATTCGAAGGTGCTTTCCAGAAAGCTGATGAAATTCTGTCTCTCTGTGGGTGCTGCCCTGCTTCTCAAACCTATTGTGCATCTCTACTCTATAGTCATACGCGTTACATGCTTTAGTACATGGGAGGAGTATCGATAGTAATCGCGTTTGAACATCGATCGCATCATGACAGGGCTTGAAAGGGCTGTCGTCTCGCTTGTGGATAACGCTTGTAGCTGCGCTCGCGGTGCGCGATCGTGAAGACCGAAGGATTAGTCTAGCGGCAGCCTTCGTAAAGAGCACTCTGCAAGCACGAGGACAGCCATCGCATTTCTTGTTTCCATCGCCGGACATGGTTTTAACTCCGTGAGCTGATCCACCAAATCTCCCGCCCATCCTGCCATTGATGCCTACCTTTTGCCGAAACAGTCATCCGGTCACGACCGCGAGACCTCGTGGCAGAGGCTGCCAAGATCTCACGTGTACAGAGGTAAAGAGTGGTATGCGGCGTGCGCGACAGGCGGTGCAGCGCATTTGCATCGATGCCAGATACTGCAAGATGACACCTGAACATGCAAGGCACGCTCTCACATTGTTGAGAATACGAGCCAGTCAGCATGGGGGATGTGACTTCTTTGTGGACAAGCGCATGCCAAGCTAGTTTTCTGACACTAATTATAGAAATTTCCAGACTTCTTCCAGGTCCTTACTTCCCATTTCCCAGAGCAACCACCTCTTTCGGCTACGTCCTTGTCAAGATTTTCGCCTTGAGAAGCTTCTCTGGGTACATCAGGCTTCGTATCGTGGCGAACGTGGCGCAAGAAGATCTAATTTGACACTTCCGAGCTATACCACACCTCGCAAAAGGATTGTGAAGGGCCGTAATGCTACCTCACCGCATCACAGTATGGCTGTTGATGCTATATTCGACCATGAGGCGCAAAACCTAATCTCAACAAACGACGTCTGTAAGGTAGGCATCCCTCACCTCTGACTAGTATATTAGTTGCGGTGAGGGTGCACTCGAAATTTCTTTTCCATCCACAACAAATCCATTCTGATCATCCTTTGCTCGGAACCACACTCGCTCCATCACTCGCTTCTCACCAAACATTCCATCGCTTTGATCATCATCTAAAGCTCTATCATATTAGCAACATCAGAAACAGAATCGACGACCAATAAACAATCAAGATGCACTACACTACCTTTGCCGCAGCTGCCCTGCTGGGAACTGCTTCCGCACTTCCTGGCAAGTTCCAGTTTGAGAAGCGCTCTGTCGCTGACTGCGATGCCACCTACAATGCTTGCCGCACCAAGTACTTGGCTAACATGTCTACTTGCGCCTCCGAGTACGCATCGTGCCTTGGATACAACCCTTTCACTGCCGCTGCCAGCCATACTGTACCTTTCCCGCTTGACTCTTCTCACCTCTATGGTCCCACCGGCTCTGTGTCCAGCAAGAGTGGTGCTATTGGAAGTGGCGTCATTGGAACTGGCCCAGTTGGAACTGGCTCTGTGAGCGCTCCTACCAGTTCTTCGGTCGTCGTCAAGTCTACAGCCACACAGGGAGATGGAAGCACACTCACCAAGACCCACACGATTCCTGTTGACGTGACCTCAACCATCACATCGTTCGTGCCTTGCTCGACTCCGGTCATGTCGAACAGCGAGACCACATTCTTCAGCACCTGGTTGACCGTCACATATCTTACAACGACTTACCAGACCATCACAACCAGCTGCGAGACCATCCACCCTACGTCGACAGAGTCTGCTTCGGTCCATGTTTCTGCTACAACCCTGCCCGGTAGCACTATTATCGGACAGGCTTCTGGCACTTGTGCTGGACCCGAGACAGTTTACGAGACGATTGTTTCTTACGTGACCATCTACGGCGATTCCAAGACTAAGAGCGCAGGCCCTGCCACAAACACTCCTATCCAGCCCGGCTCTACCCTCAGCTGGTCTCACACGGGCTCTGCTAGCGGTATGGCCAAGCCTACTGGTTGGGTCAAGCCTTCTGGCTGGGTCAAGCCCTCTGGTTACGCTAAGCCCTCGGGACACTAAGCGATCTCTTCTGACACGATTATCATAATTTTCACGACACTCCTTGATGATATATAAAAGTGGGATTAGAAGCGAACAGCAAGTTGGCATAGAGGCGTTTGAATTGGTTTTTGTTTGCTTTACTGCGTGTTACATTCCTTGTGCTCGCGCACTTCTTAATGTTTTCAAGGAGCTCTGTATTCAGGGTGTCTACATCAGAATTGTAACGTTTATCAAATACGATATTATATTGTCTTGCCATATCCTTCTTCCCAAAAAGACATGACGAAATGGTGAAAGCTAGTCTGAAGGGCTGCTTAAACAGGTTGTACATGGTTGTCCTCAACGATTCTCATTCCTTCTTGAATCTTCGAAACGTGATGCTGATGCGCGGTTCCTCTGAATCGGATTTGGGGACACCATGACGAAAGAGCTTTTGCGTATGACCGCCCATAGTCAAAACTGATCCATGAGGAAGAGGAACTTTCAAAGCCTCTCCATGCTCGAGATGCTCCAAGTGTTTGGCTCGTATCTTGAGAACGCGCTCGTCACCCAACGAGATGATGACAATATCAGCGCCTTCCTCCATGCCCACTTCGCAATCGCTGTGTTGTGCTGTAAAGTCTTGTCCGTCCTTGTACCAGTTTATGACGACTTGATTGTATCCAGCATTGTCTCTGTTGACGTAGTTCAGAAAAGGCAGCAATGCGTTTGGGAGAGGGTCGCGGTTGGCAGGGTCGTTCTTTCCAGAAAACATGTAGCTATAGTGTAATGCTGGGTCGTGGATTGGTGTGTTAAGATAGCTCTTGTGCCAACGCGGTGACTCGACTTCGCCGGTTTGCATCTGGACTTTGCCTCTTTCTTCGGGATGCAGATCGAAAAGAGTGTCGAAAGTGTCTGTGGCATAGGTTTTGAGGTCTTCTGGGAGGGTATCCATGATGATGTAGCTTGCGCCATCCTCGCTGAGATTGATTCGTTGTGTCATCGCGACGGGAACAAATGATAGTATTCGCAAGAGAAATGTTTCCACCAAAAGTTAGAACTCCTGTTTACTTATCAACTTTCGTGTCCAGCAGTGAGTCAAGCTGTGGTTGGTGCTCTATCAGGCCACCGAGCAGGATGAATAGCCGATGCAGGGCGCGGTGTCCATATTCGCTGGTATTTGTTCTGCCACTTTCTTTCGGTTTCCTTCTCTTCCCTTCTCTCGCTTTCTCTCATAATTTATCGGCGATTACTAGGAATCACATCCCTGCTTCTTCTGAACCTCGAAAAGCAATCACATGGCAAGCGCTCACAGAGTAAGAACCGCTGAAGCAGAAGAATTGATCAATGACCACAAATTTGGGTATATAGGTATCGTTTCTCATGCAGAAGACTGGGCCATACGAGCCTTCCGGTCTTCCGCCTCTTTCTTGCCGTGCACGCCACGCAAAAAGTCCATCTTGCCAATGTAACCTTGTTTGCTCCTGCCGTACTCGTCCAGCTCGTCCTTTAGCCCCTCTTGGTCGACGTGAGCAGCCCAATCGATGGCCGACTTCTGGACGGTGTTGAGTTTGACAGCCTTGCCGGTCTTGGCCTCCTCTTCCAATCTCTTTTGCTGTGCGAGAACGTCGGCTCGAGAGGGNGTGCGCAGTCGTTGGCGCTCTGGTGGTAGACCTCTGACTTCGCCGGTAGGATTGGGCTCGAATTTGGAGGCGCGGCGTAACGGTCGGCGGAGAGTGGGTTGGTCGTCTTTTGGCGATGGCGAGCGTGGTTTGGTCTGTTTTGCAGGGTCGTTGTTTGCGAGGAAGAGCTTTGCTTCGGCCGAGTCCTTGTGTACGCGCTTCTCTTCCGTCACCTTTTGGCCGGCGAAGTCGTAGGACCGCTTGATGGTGATCATGCCATTGTCGTCTTCGTCTGCTTGCGCATCTTTGTTGTCGGCCTTTTCAGGTGCGCCATCCTGGTTGTTCGCGACGTCTTCGGGCTTCGGCTGGTCTCGCGAAGGTCGTCCGATTGGTTTGGCGGTCATGGAGGCCCAAAGGGCATCGACATCGACAGAGACATTGTCAACGTTGGCTTTCTGGTACTCTTGACGCTCCTGTTTTCTGCGACAGGCATTAGCTGTGATGCGCAGNGGTAGCGACAATCAGACGTACTCTGCTCTCCTCTGGGCTCGCGTCTTGATCAGTCCGCCTTCACCACCGCTGTCCTCATCATCGTCACCTTTCGGTTTCTTGGCCTTTCTCAGCTCTGTTATTGTGGCTTCATCGCCAGAGTCGAGTTCGTCGGCATCGGTTTGGGCCTTCTTTCGCTTCTTGGAGGCTTTCTTTGGTTGCGGCGCTTCGTCTTCGTCCGAGGACAAGTCCTCGTCTTGTGCTGCTTCTACCTCATCTGGGTTGAAATCTTCATCTTCGCTCGACTTGTACTCGTCGTCTTGATCGATGGGTAGCTTGTCTTCGTCTGGCATTTTCTCAAGAGTNGAATTGTTCTGGAATTGGAGGACGGAAACATGAGCCCGTCCTGTTTGCACTGTTTGATTCATGACGCCCTCCTCCGCCTTCTGCTCTCATATGCATCACGATTCACGACTTACGAGCCTCTCACGGTGATCTGTTTTTCTCATGGGAATTCAAGGTCAAGACGTTCATTATGCCATTAATATGCTACTGCTGTAAAATGCCATGGTCATATCGGCATGCTTCGTATCACCTTGCTACTTCTGGAAAGTGTTGTTCTCGCCCTTGCCGAGTTGCTCCTGAACAGTGCCGCCAATTGAGCCCCCGGTGGTGAATTGCTTTCCAATGGCGCCCTGACTTGAGAATGGTCCACCGACCTTTTCACCAATCTGGCCAATTGAGCCGTCGGCTGGAATTTGATTAGCAATTGCTATGTGGATGACGGAGAGCATGAGCATACCAGTGAACTGCTTTCCAATCGCACCATCTGCACTGAATGCGGACGTGCCAGTGCCTGTGGTCTTCTCGCCAGCTGGTTCGCCCTTGGGGACAGCGTCCTCGTGGATGCCAGTGGATCCGAAGTCATCGTTTCTCAGGGCAGCAGAAGCACCCTTGTCCATGGTCTTTGCTGAAGAGTCTCCGTCCATTGTGTAGATGTGTTGTTTGAGTAGTGTTGGTTTTAGAGATGTTGAATTAGCTGTAGATTGATTTATTGAAGAAGCAGCATCGCCCAAATTGACCTTTCTTATATTCGTTCGAGGTCGCCAGAGCTGCTGAGACGGACTGTAGAGGTCGTCATACTTCAGGAACCATTATGTCATGACAACATGTACGTAGTGAAGCGTCGATGGATCATCTTTACACGAGAACGATGGATCATGGACATGCTGTCGAAGAGGTTTTCGAGTCTCAAGAGGCTCTACTCTTGTTGATCCATCTGATCTTCGACTGGTGTCGATTCCATTGTGATGATGCGCGATCTCCACGATTCATGATCCACATCTGTATGGGTTTCAGGAATACATGTCTCCATGACCTGACCTTTCAAAGGTCAGGGGCTATTGGTCTGTAACTTGGAGCATCCAGTGCAACACATATAAAGTCTCGTGATGCCGCTATGTTCTGCTCTAGAAGGTGCTCAGTGCAACGGAGAAATGGTCTTGAAACGGCATGAGTGGTTTCGGATTTAACGCGGGCCAATGCCGGTGACTGCTTTCGTCGCATTGCCCCAGACTGCCTTTGGCGATGCTTTTGATCGCAACCTGTTGCTGCTGTGGCATTGACAAGACTTGAGGTCTGTTTGCAGCTGAACAAGACGTCTTTGACTTGAGGCTCTAGACGTGCATGAGATATGTCGGTTACAATTATTACAACACGCACGGCAGATGCAATCGAAACAGTTTTGCATCGGCCTCGGGATCAGCCCAACGTGGGCATTGGGCAAGCCTTACCGTGCATATCGCCTTGCTCGATCTACCGTCTAACCGGATTAGGGCGGAAGTGATCTGCCCTGTAGGAATGCCGTCGCGCTGCCCGGGTTCCTCCACATGCCTAAAGACCAACCAGCGTTCACTTCTGCACCTTGTCAGCGCATTAGCCTTTGGGTGGGCTGTCGTTCAGCTGTCATCAAGCTATCACCTCCAAGGTCTCTGATCTGATTTGCGCGTTTCAGCAACAGCAAAAGCGACAGGCTTCAAGTGGCGCCTGATAGCACATGGCTAGTTTTCAACGTTTTCTCCTCCCAAAGCGTCCTGGTGCCCACACAACGGCGTTTGAGCCATGAGCTGGCCAGTCCCAAGACCAAGACCAAGTTCAAGTCCAAGTCAATCCCTCAGATCCCTCTTGTTCTTTCCCTGCCCCGAGCGACTTGTCTACATGTTGCCTGGTCCCTCGGTCCCAGTCGGTCGGACGCTCTTGTTCTGCCACATCCATTCTTTTTGCCTCTAGTGTCCTCTGTTCGTCCTTTGTCATCAATCTACACACCTCTTTGTCCCACATCAGACCATTTAGGCTGTCGCAGTTGCACGCGGATCCGGGAAGGTGCATCTAGCACCGCACAAGGTACCAGGATGCTTTTGGAACGACCACTCTCGTTTAAGCGCGCCTCTGCCCGGCAAACATTCTATCCCTACCCAGACTCGCCCGCCCTCGGAGAACAAGACCGCAGATCAATGTCCACGACTGGCGGAGCATTGCCTCGACGGGAAACATACCGGAGCGGCGTCCTCTCATTGCTTCCTCCAAAGACGGGAGAGCAGCTTGTCCGCACGCGGGATGACGACGGATCCGGCGACGAGAGAGACCCAGCAGAGATAGAAGCTGCATATCTGAATCTGGTTGGAGGAGGAGGCAATCGCTCACGAAACATCAGCTCCGAGTTGTCGTTCGGCATGTCTCCCGACAAGGATCCAGATGGACCAGCATACTCGATCGAAGAGTCCAAGAGGAGGACAAACTACTACGAAGAGCAGTTTCAATACAAGGGCAATGGGTTGGGCAGCGTGCGAGAGAGGATCGAAAAGGACTCTCCGGTCGTGGCCGAGCTGCGCACCAATGTCATTGTATGTTGCCGTGTGCACGTGGCTGTCGCGAGGGCTGTCTGCTAATGCAAGGGGAACAGGNTCAAGGATGAGTTCACCCTCGTCACCGACATGTCGTACAATCTCAGCCAGCGCTACTCGCGTCCCGAGAGCAGCATCATGGTCAACGTCGAGCACTCTGCCTGCTTGCTGCTCGCCGGCTCCTTCGAACCCGCATACGTCCTCACCATCACCGCCCTCCCCTCTCAACTGCAGCCTGTCACCAACAAGCGCAACTCGGCCCTCATCCAATCATTCATGGCAGACATCCTTGCCGTCCCACCTGAAAGAGGCATCCTTCGATTCCAGCCCATTGCCGAGGAGAATCTAGCCATCAACGGCACCACTGTCTTTGGCGAGATTGAACGTATTGAAAAGAGCAGCATCGACTCGGACGTGACGGCTGCCAACGCCATCAAGCGTGCTTGGACTAGGGGATCGCGAAGATCGGTTCATGCGAAAAAGCCTTCAGTCAGAAACACCGACGACGTACCCTCTGCACTCCCGCCAGTCGCAAATACCCACCTACCCACCACCAGCCACTCCCGCCAACCCAGCCAGAATCTGTCTCAATCCGCTGTATCGCTAACCTCTCACCCTGGACCCGCATTCGTCGCTAGCTCGACATCTCCCGTCCTCGAAGAGCGAGAGAGATCACCAACAAGGCCAGCACTACCTGGCCCACCAACCAGAGACCTGCCTCCTACACCGATCGCAACGCCAAACGGCGATGATAAGCGCAAGAGCAATCTGAATGGCATACTCAAAAACGCGTCCAATAACTCTCCTCGTGGCTCTCCTCGTCCGGGCTCGTCCAGCACCCACGTACTGAAACCACCACCTATTCCACAAAGCGCGTCGCCTGTCAGTCCCAAGGTGGCCAAGAGGAAAAGTTTTATTTCCATCTTCAAGCGGTGACACTGAGCATACACGCCATACATACAGCATCATCAAGAGCGAGGAGTTTGGATTACATACAGGTTGGTACTTTTGCATAACAAGGCGTTGTTCTTCTTTCTTTGGTTTTGTTCCTCCTTATCGTCGCATCGGCTTGTTTTTCTTCGCCATAGACATACTTTTTATATACCCCTTTTCCAGGCTGCTGTTTTCTGGGGAATTCGATCAATCTTATACACGTTCCTTTTCTGTTTTTTCAAGTCTATCTCTCTTTCTCTCTCTCTCTCTCCCCGACCCAAGCTATACGATGAGCTGAAGCGCAAGATTGTTCTGATACCAGAGTGGTGTCCAAGGAGATCAGGCCTGTCAGAATCTCGTTGGAGGGTCCATTTGTTCCAACACTTTTCTCACACCACAACACGGGCTATACGGCGAACAATGGAGATGCACGACTGCTTCATACCAGAGTTGCGTCCTTGACGAGCATCGGAACCTCATCGAAGGAACGATCTCAGCTCCATCGTTTCTCTCACAGCAATGCCGAGGTAATACGAGGGGACTCATCGACTTCGAGCAAAGTCAGACCCACACGAAAGACGAAGTCGCTGTTGGCTTCTGTGCTGAAGATGTTCAACCGGATCAAACCATGCCTTGCTATCGTCGAATTTGATGGTCTGCTTTTCCGTTGTACCGTCAGCATGGCGTTCCTGGTATTCGATCACACAACGGTTGATGTTTGCCGACAAGACGTCACATTCCAACTGACGTCGAATTTGGTCGCGAAGGGATGCTGGCGTTTCGAAGAGGCGAGGGTCAACTCGGAAGACCTGGGTATGCCAGGTCTTTCACGGTTGCCCGCCCTTTCCGAGAGCTCGTCTTCGATGTCTGGCGCATGGAGCTTTGGGGCCAGACGAATTGCAAAAGACTTATTGGGGAGGTTGTCAGCCTTCTGAACTGCCGAAGACTTCTGCACCGTGGCAGTTTCAGCAGCCTTCTTCGGCGGCGTCCAGCGCGGAAAGAATACGGGCCTGACCTTTATCTTGCACGAGACGGCGGGCTCACTGAAGCTTGTTGAGAATCACCTGTTCTGGATCGCATAGCGAACATAACGAAGAAGCACCCAACACCTGTTAATAGCCTCCAGCTCATGCTCTGGATGGTCAGTGGCCTCGTAGCGGAGCTTCGGCATCACCAACATGGTCGGGTCGATGTGCAAAAACTTGCCAAGCTTGGGAGATGGCCTTGCCGAACTTTGCGATAGCCGTCTCTTGACGTTTGTGGCTTTCTTCCGAGGCTAGAGTAGGTATGGCCTCGATGTTTTTCCTTCATGCGGCACAGGATGGCCGCGAGACGCTTGTGCTTCATGGTGTCTTTGAGGTGGGCCGAATCACCTTGCATATACGGAAACTTCTTCTCGGGGTCATCAATGCTGGAGAATTCGTGGTGCCCGTTCAGATGCATCATTGCTTCGTCGACACTAATGTTATCGGAAACCTTCTTGCCTTGAGACTTGGCCACACCGGACACGAATGGATCTTCCAGCGCAAGTTGTGCCCATGCAAGGAAGTCTTGTTGCTGCATCCAGGAAAACTGCAGGTGATCTGGTTGTTCTTGTCAGCCTCCTATATGGCGTAGCCCTTGCATCCCTTGCCGCTTGTGTAATGTCTCCAGAGCATGTATTCACCGAGAGCGCCAACGCAGCAGCTGAAGGCGCAGACGTGTTGCTTCTTCTTGTACAGCGCGCGTCCGTGGTTTTTCAACACGTGCTGGGTCACTGTGTTGATGTCGGTTGCAGTGTGGTCGTCGAAGACCTTGTTGCAGTCGTCCACTGGACACTTGAAGCGCGCAAGGGCAGCTTGAGGATGCCCCTTCTTGGTCTCAGGGGTAGTTCTGGCAACGTCAAGATCCTCTGTGCCCAATGTAACTGTGTCGGACTCGACAGATGACCCTTGAGAGCTCTTTTCTGAAGAACCCTTGTCCGAGGAGCCCGAGGAATCGGCCTCATCGTCCAACTTCTGCTTCTTTGATGGCCCCAAGAGTGGCTCAGCAGCCGCACGCTTGTTGCGCACGCTTCTTCTGAGGCCGTCGTTGGCGGTCGATGAAGTGGGCAGAGTTGCCACGCTTGACAGGTCTTTGGCGACGCGATTGAGGTCTGCGCGCCTCATTGGCAAAAGTGGAAGGGCATCTCGCCCTCGTCATCTCCGCCCTCGTCATCCTCGACGCCAGAGGCCTTGGAGTCTTCGATTTCTTGCTCGTGCATAGCGAGTCAGTGGTCGATGGCCTCCTGTCGGCGAAGGTCGATGTCCTTGACAGTATACTGGAGATACCGACACGGCGACAGGCACTGAGGAGCGTCTCCCTGCGATCTTCCATCTCCTTGACCACCTTGTTTGCCCTAGCGGCAATCTTCTTTGCATTCTCCAGGGCAGTCTCGTCGTCGGCGGTCCAGAATCTGAGGGCAGGCGACGAAACGGACACACATGTGACGACTGGTGGATTAACAAAGTTGCCAGAGCGTGAGACAGAACGACGAGACTTACGTCCTCCGACCTGCTCAATGAGTTTCGCCATCGGTAGCGAGGAGGGTTTCTTCGCGGCCAACTTCTCAGCAGGCTCCGCAACCAACTTTACAGCGGGCTTTGCAGCCGACTTTACAGGGAGCTTTGCGGCCGACTTCTTCTTCTCGGCGAGACGTGCGGCGAGCTTCATCTCCTTTGTCAGCTTGACAACGGAGCGCGCGAGCTTAGGACCGTCGTCCTCCTGCTCTCTGACAACCTCTTTATCGCCGAAATCGGTCAAGTCAAAGTCGCCAGCAACCTCGAGGTTGTCAGAGGCCGAAAGCGGTCACCATGCCGTCGTGAAAACCAGTGTCAGTGTACTTGTCGGGGTAGGCCGTTGTTGTGGCCTCGTCTGTCAAGGTGACGATCTTGAGGTTTGATGTAGATGGGACATTCTGGTGGTGAAGTCGAGTAGATGAGGAGAGATATCTCAAAAAGAAGAACGACGGTAATGACTCGAGAAGGCAGCAAGCTGAAGTTATTGCCGGTGATAATGTGGAATATGGGTAGAAGTTATAAGTCCCAGGAAGGGAGGGGGTAAGTCGTCGAAAACAAAAACGGATCAACACAGCTCACTCGCGGAAACGAGAAGTCGCGTTGCGCATGACGCCGAAGCTGTCGTGTTTTTCGTTAGCATAAAATATATATGGAGGGTTGTATTGAGATGCTACTAAGTAGATCTGATTGCAAGAAAGGTATGGGAATCGACGGTTCCATATATCCCTAACATGATTGCTACCTATCAAAGAAGCACAATCATGGACAGCTCTAGAAATTGCCACAGCTCGTGTCTCTTTGCTGTAAGCAAGACACCCCATCTCTAACAGTCTCTCTTTTGTTCCTGACTCTGGTGTTAATCTGCATGCCTCTCTCACAGCGATGCAGAGCACTATCATAAGCTGTGAAAATGCAAGGTTCTTTTCGACACAAGGGAGGTGTCAAAGGAGAGCCTCCATCTCACTGCCTCTCTCTGGCCTCATCTTCAATTCAAAAACTGTTGTGCGTTTTCAACGCGAGATTATAGTTGTGCATGAGGAAGGAGAGTCGCTCAATGAGTACGGGAATATTGCGTACCCGTGTGCCAGTGCAGGCAGGGTAGTGCCACGACTCAATGACTGTGTTTCTCTTGGAGGAGTCATATGTAGGAGAGGGTCTGGTGTAGGTAAACAGAGATAAATACTCGTCGAGACTCTTGAAGCGATGTGTTTTGGGTCGATCCTGTATGCTCGTGACTTTGCTTTGCCTAGGTCACTAATACAATGAGACAATGGTGAAAGATATAAACAACTGCTAGCACTACACAACGAGTAAGAGCGGACAGGTTTCGGTGAATGATTTGATATGATTTATATTTTGATGGAGATTTTATATAATTGTCTGTTTTCTCATCTTCAACAGCAAGAAAAGAGTGTGCAGCTACCTCGCCAGATAAAAACAACCCAATCTATACAAAAGCCAAGAGGTATAGCCCAGCCGAAGAGATCATTAAAGTAAAAAGGTCGTCATGATATCATGTCCTCCATGGTCTTTCAAACATGGAGGATCAAAAAGGTGTGAAAAGAAGAGGATAAAAAGGGTTTACACAAGAAGTGGATGAGAAAGGAGAGTGGAAGAGACTAGAGCAGGAGATTCCAGCATCTAGAAGAAGAAGACAGCAGCCATGGCGGCAACGGCGGCCATGAAGCTAGCGTTGCTCTTGCTGGCAGCACCGGTGTACTGAGCAGGTGTTGAGGTTGTAGCTGAGGCGACGTTGGCGCTGGTGCTGGTGCTGCTAGGGGCGTTGGCGTGAATGGAGCTGCTCAGAACAGACTTGATAGAAGAGGCGGCTGGGCCAGAGCTGGCGGGGGCAGATGAAGGGCCGGGAGCCTGGATCTGACCATCGCTGATCTGGGTGACGACGTTTCCAGTGGGCTTGACAGGCGAGCTGGCAGCGGGAGTGGTTGCAGGAGCAGACTCGACGGGCTTGGTGCTCTGGACAGGAGCAGACTCGACGGGCTTGGTGCTCTGGACAGGAGCAGACTCGACGGGCTTGGTGCTCTGGACAGGAGCAGACTCGACGGGCTTGGTGCTCTGGACAGGAGCAGACTCGACGGGCTTGGTGCTCTGAGCAGGAGCAGACTGGAGAGGTGCAGTGGTCTCAACCTTGGAGCTCTGGGCGGGGTGGCTTTCGACGGGAGCAGACTGAACAGGGGCAACGGGCGATGATGCGGGCTGGCTCTGGACTGGTGCGGAAGAGACCTTGGTGCTCTCGGCAGGGTGGCTGACGATCGAGGTTGTCAAGAAGACGGAGGTCGAGCCATGCTCATCAGTGGTGGTGTAGGGGCAAGTTGTGGTGTATTGCGTAACTGGAACGACAACGGTAACCTTTCCAGAGGAGACGGGCGAAGAGTTTCCGACAGCGGACACAGGCGATGAAGCAGGAGTTGACACAACAACGACGGGGTAGGAACTGGTGACAACCTGGCTTCCCGAGGCGCACTTCTTGCAAGAAACAGTAAGCTCTGTTGTGCTGTATCTGGTAAGAGTGGTGGGCTTGGGTGCCTCAGGAGCCGAGGTAGCGGGAATTTGGACCGATCCGGACTTTGTGACCTTGATGATCGAAGTAGCGGTCGAAATGGTGATATATGATGTTGTTTTGGTAACACCGCCAGTGATGTAAGAGCTAATCACAGGGCAAGTTGTTAGGTAAGTTGTTGTGATATCGGTGATGTACTTTGTGGTTCCATTGCTGTAGATAGGAGCAGTGGGAACGACATGGCCCTGAGTGGGTGCAGTGATTGTAGCGTAGCTTGTGTAAGTGGTCGTGATCACCGAGGGCTTAGTCAAGGTGGTCTTTGATCCGCCGGTCGAGATGACTTCTCCGGATGAGCAAGTCGTGATTGTCGTGATGATCGATTCAGTCACTGTTCTTGTCTTCTGAGAGGGGATAGGAACTGGGATCCAACCAGAGGGAACAGCACCAGAAGGACCAGCATGGCCCTGAGTGGTTGCGTTCTGGATCGGGTAAGGGGCAGTCCAAACGCTCTGGGAGGACTGCTTGGGAGTCTCGGTGGGCTTAGAGCAGCCGCCCTTGCACGAGGTCAGAGTTTGGGTCGAAGTCGTGATGTATGTCTTTGTCAGGGTCTTGCCAGCGCTGACGGTAGTCTCAGTGACTGGGCAGACAGTGGTCGTTGTGTAGACTTCCGAAGTCTTTGTGGTATCCGGAACAGACTGGGTAGGCTTAGAGCAGCCACCCTTGCAGCTGGTGACAATGATAGTGCTCGTAGTGAAATATGTGAAGGTATGGCCTTGCTTGACGGTAGTCACTGGGCACAGCGATGTGGTTGTGTACACAATCTCTGTGCTTGTAGCGTTTGGGGAGGCAACCCAGGTCGAAGGGGCTGAGGTGGGCTTGGAGCAGCCGCCCTTGCAGCTAGTGACCGTAAGTGTAGAAGTTGTGGTATACACGGAAGTGTGACCGTTCACAATAGTGGTTGCAGGGCAAACTGTGGTGGTAACGTAGGTCACAAGGGTAGATGTAGCGTTCTGCTCAACAGAGGAGGAAGCAACCGATGAGCTGTGCTCAGGAACCCAGCCGGTGGGCTTGACCCAACCAGTAGGCTTGGACTCGGAAGCAGAAGAGCTCGACTCAGAGACCCAGCCGGTAGGCTTGACCCAGCCAGTGGGCTGGTGCTCCAGGACCGAGGAAGAGGAGGACAAAGTCAAGTCAGACGAAGAAGAAGTGGCCGAGGAGGAAGAGTGGGTCCATGTCTCGTTCCAGTTGCTGGCAGACGCAAGACCAACGAGGCCTGCGAGGATTGAGAAAGACTTCATTCTTTTACAGACGGTCGAGTCGATGTCAATTGCTTATTGCTTTTGATGGATGTGCAAACGAAAGTATCCAAGAGAGACCGTAGCGAGAGAGTCTCTAGAGGGTGTATTAGTAAAAGCGATTGGGATGATAGAACAACTCCCAGAGAGAGGGAGCAGGGCAATTAATATATCTCACCTTCCCCAGCATGTTGACTGCCCGAGCTCGAGATGCCCCATTCTCCACGTCTGGTACTCTATGGATTGACGTGATTTAGGTGCGCCACTGATGAGGATCAACCGGCGCCGGCGGTACCTAATTGATCGAGTGTATTGACTTGCTGGTAGGCGCATGGTTGGTACGAGGTAAGCGCAGCAGCCGACTACCTTGAGCTTGGCAGAGATGAGTTTTTTCGTATTGGTGTCGATAGCTCCAAGGTTTGTCGTCTCAAGATCGACCCACGCCATGACTAGACGGCACGAGAGCTCCACCTGCATGCAGGAAGCGTGCCCCAGCCAACCGAGCTTTCCATCTGCAGGCTGCTTGCGCAGAACACTCGCTGCATGCAGCATGCAGAGCTGAAATCTGGTAGCTCATATATCCGATCCTTGTCTCGTGGCCGGGTTCCTGCTGGTCCATTGTGAGCTTCACGACATGACGTTGTACATCTGGGAGCACTCTCAGACAAAGCGTTTTCGTATGCTCGTTGATTGAACGGTTTGGCTTCGGCGAGGCCCAACGGTGGGATGAACGGCGCGATGGGCTTCCATAATCCAAGACAATGAACCTGCAGTAGCGCGTCAGTTGGCAGAAAGACGAACAAAACCCAGAAGCAGAAAATAGAAATGGCATCACGTCGATCTTGTGGGAAGGAAAGGGCCGTCCGCGACCGAGACGGCCAGCAACGAACCACGCAACTTTAACCTGGACGTTCCTGCCTATCGACAAGAGGCTCCAGGTGCGCCATGTCCGCTTTGCTGGCAGCAAGAACAAAACCTTGCTTGCGATGAAGGATTTTGGAGCCGCATCATCATATTTCGTGCCCTCAACAAACACTTGGGAATATCGTATTCCCACTGTGGATTCTCTGCGGCTATCGAATCACTGCATCTCTTCGTGAATCGTGAGGTCGAGGGCTGGGTGGCTGCCACACACGAGCTGCTTGGAGCAGACAAGTTGCTAGGCGGACCTCATCACGCGGCCACGCTGACTGCGAGGAGGATACTATTGTTATACAGCGCTGTATTGTGTATACGAGGGACAAGCAGATGTCACACCCATCACCGCTCTTACTCGGTCGGCGAGGTTGCATCCACGAAGCCATCCATCGCTCGATGCTTGACGCATGTGATGTGTCGTGCTTTCCCAGACTGCGACGTTGTTCCCATCTGAAGGATTCAAGCCACCGACGCCATGAAGTCGGGCGAGCATTGACTTCCGCCATGTTCCTCTTTGAATCGTTGCCGCCTTCCGCGCAAGAAGCTCGATGTTTCCAGCAGCCTCACTGCCTTAAGCGACACTCGAATAGTTGCGAAGGATAGAGTTTCTAGACTTTTGCCCTTTCTCGACACAGAGTGGAGCAGAGCACGCTCTCTGTGCGCTTGGCTCGGTTCGCATGGCAATGAAATAATTTTGATCAGCCAATCACAAAATAGAAGAGCCTGCGGGTTTCCCTCGGTCACCACTTTTCAAACTTTGGTCCTTTCCGCCCAGCTCTTTCTGCTTGCGCTCAGAAGCTGGCTCTCGCGCGCCATCGAACGAGAGGCTGCCTGGCTCGCAAACTTGTAGCGAAAATGGCAGCACTTATGCAGGTACATGACAAGGTTCCGCTTGTCACAAGAGCACAAGAACAAAGCATGAAGTGTATTCTGGTAGTCTTCAGCCGAGCATTTACGAGCGAGTGATTATTTTTGTTGAGAGGGCTTGCGATGCCTTGTTGTGATGCTGCTGTTTTGCGAAAGGAAAGCTTGCCCAGCACCCACCCTTCGCAATTACTCATAAATATGCACTCCACGAGAGCTAACGCAGCCTTCAAGGCCAGATCAACGCCCAAACCAGCATGTTCTTCCGACTGTCCAAATCTCCCAGCCGACCCACCAAGATCCCAAGGAACTGACTTGAAGAGGAAGGACGGGAAGGGAAGATGCCTCCGCCAACCCAAAAAATTCGTGACTGCAGGGTTGAAGCACTGCCCTGCTGATCTTGCTGTCACCTTGTAAGATGTTCCCTGCAGGTTGAGAAAAACAACACTCAAGAACAAGTTGTACCTTGCAGACTTTTTGTCGCTTTCAGCCGAGTTTTATGAAGCTCAAGAGTCATCGTCGCTCTCGCTGCCGCTCTCCCATCCATCTTCATATTCCTCGCAGATCCCCACGAGTCCATCACAAAGTGCCTCACGCTCATCAATCCCAATAATTGAACGAGCTATCCTCTCCACCGAACGAATTCTCTGCGCGACAGATGTAGTCGTTGAAAGCGTCGCGTGCACAGCAAGTTTCTGAACGATATTGCCAGATGCAAAAACCTGAGGGAAGCTGTCGATGACGGGGAAAAGCAATGAAGATTGATGACTGTAAAACCCTTGTTAGTATCTCAAATCTCGTGTTCTGCCGCAGTATCGCAACATCACAATCTCAGATGTTTCAAGAACTCACCTTTCAATTCTGGGACCATGACCAAAGCGATCGCGAGATGCGAGGTTCGTATCTTCGATTTCGAGAGTCGACTTCCATTTGCCGCGCAGGCTTTGTAGTTGACTGAATACGTGAGTTCGGCGATTGTTGGGTCCTCGTTCGCCAGTCAGGTTGGCGGTCTTTGGCTGCATGTCTATGTCGAGTTCCTTTGCTTCTGCGTCGTCGTGGCCGTGATTTCCGTCTGTGAAACCGTTCATTCTGCTGTCGTGTTGTGTTGCATGGCCATTTGCTTCGCCCTCCAGTTCAGCTGGGTCTTTGATGCTCATGTTGAGTTGAGCGACTCTGCGGTTGCCATCGCTGCTCAACAACGTCTCGATATCAGCAAAGGACGAGCGACCTTGCTGGTTTGAGCGCAGTCTAGTCGGCAGAGTCATACTCTCAATTGCTAGCAGCTGCAGTGCGGAAGTGTGCCATTTGGAAGAGCCATTCAGATTAACGTACGGCGGTAGAACATCCGGTAACGTGGTAAGTGGAATATACATGCTCGCCTGGCTCGATATCTGGTAAATTGACTGTGCGACATTGGCGACCTGTAAGATTTGCTTGTCNCTGTTGCATGCACGCGCGGCATTAGTCTTTGTATCAAGATTCTCGTGCATGTGCATACTGACCCTTGGCTTGCGTCCACCTTCCTCGAGTCCCCATACCCAAGCACTGGTCTTGCCTAGTTCGTCTCTCATTCTTTCCAGATACTTGGCTGTGAAGCCACCCCAGGCATCATCGGCAGAGGCGATCATTTGGATTGCTTGCAGTTGATCACACTCTTCCAAGAAAGGTCGCAAGTCTCTGTCCAGAAGATCATGTTCTTTGTCGAGATTGTCGAACAAGTCCTCTCCAGTAGCCCATTTCTCAAAAGGCATAAGAGATGAGTTCAACTCATACTCCTGCAATTGAACGATAGATTTGGGATGATAGAACACTCTGTTGAAGTCAGACCAGTAGCGAACAGTGTCAGGCGATAGTGTAGGTGGTTCGAGTCCTTGGTCCAGGTGCTGCTGATATGCACTTTGCTGAATCTGTTCTGTTCGAATGACATTCGTGTTTCCCGCNCCTGAGCATCTGGTAAGTCATCTTCATTTGAAGAGTCGAACTATACTCGAGACATACCACATTTGCTGTGCAATTGCTGCAGGGTCGTCTGCTGCACCATACAGTGCATTGTCTCTCCTCAACGTACCAAAAGCACCTTTGAGATCATAGATCAGTGCGCGAGGCGTAAATGTCTCTGTGCCATCTTCCGAATGTCCAGGTCGAAAGTGGACATCATGATCCACAGGAGATTCTTCTTCGTCGCCGTACGTAAAATATGTTTCCNNTAGACGAAAATTGTCAATAATTTGTTTTCATGTGGTGTCAAGCTTTGCTTCTTTGGAAACTGCGGTACTGTGCGACGCAGGCTACCGCCTGTGTCGACTTTGGTATCCATCGTCTTCATGCGTGACCAATCTCACGTATTGGAGGGGCTGGGGACGTTGTGCAAAGAAAAGGAGAAGGCTTACCTGCGCGTTCCAAAAGTGGGTGCCGACGTGGTTAGCTTGTTGGCCGAATTGCAGCGTAATCACTTCATGCATTTTGAGATTATAGGCAGGATTGTTATTGGAAGACAAAGTTGATTTGTCGTGCTACTGCAAAGCAAGATGAAGCCATGAGGCAAGAGCTTGCACAAACGCGGAGGTGCAACTCGAGCAGGAAAAAACAAGAAATAATGACAAAATAAACTAATTACACAAATTGACGGAACAATATGCTTAGGATGTCATCATTCGTTATTGCTATTGGAGTGATGTAGGCTCTACGGATTATAATGAGAACAGCTAAAAATGACCTTCTAGCCCATGAGCTGTAGAGGAGTTGTTGGAGGCCAGCGAGTCTGTGAGAAACTCAGGCATCTCTTGATGGACTGCAAGAACTTTCTTGTGATCTCGTCGCTCATGATATGTGCAGCATCCTTGTCGTTTGCGTGCAGTTTCTCTCGCGCGGATCTTTCGTGGATACCAACCATGGTAACACCGATAGGCCATGCANNCTGTAAATAGGTAAGCATTGTGCCAAGATCAGGGTTTGTAGGAGGATTGACTTACGCTTTTCCGATACTCAGTCGCAGGTAAGCATCATTGGCATCAACATAGCGTCTCTCCTGACAGGCTCGGACGATTTCGACAATCGGACCCAAAATACCTTCCTCGACATCCCCCTTCTCCAGTTTTCGATATAGCGGCACCATGCTGTCGCGGGCTTGAACCATAGCACTGTAGGCAGCTTTTCCGCTACTGCTCGTCTTAACAGCCTCATCTCGTAGAGACAGTGAGACTTGCCATTCTGATAGGACCAGTGTGAAGTAGGAAGCGAGCTGGCGGTAGAGGAATGCCCGGCCCTCGGTGTCCTTGGGTACAACGTCCGAGACTTTCATGTCGGCTTCCGGTACAGGCTGAAGTGTGGTGGGTATGGGACCAGAATACATGGTTGCTTTGGGCTTGCCTGAGGCGTCTAGCCCAGCAAGTTTTCTGTATCGTCGCAACTGGCCGTTGTGTGTCTCTCCGAACAAGCGCGCCGGCTCGTTCATGTCCCTCAGCTTTTGTACGAGCTCCTCCTCTTTGATGTCATTCTCAGGCGCAGGTGTGGCATCACCACCCTCGATGGCCTTCTCTTTTGGCGGCAGCTCTGGCAGTCCAAGTCTCTTCCGGCGGACCCTTTCTTCCCGTTCCTCTTCTTCCTCTCTCAACCTTCTGCTCTCTTCTGCCAGCCTCTTTCGCTTGTCCTCTCTTGCTCTGTTCTTCTCTGCCTCGTCTTCATCAAACTTGCGCTTCTTCTCAAGCCTAGAGATGCGCGCATTTTCGGTGGCTTTTTGTTCGGCAGCGTAGTCGGCTTGTCGTTGTGCTTCGACGTCGGCGCGTTTAATGTACTTGGATGGCTTTGCTTCTTCTGGCGTCTGGGATTTTGGCGTCGGTTTGGATTTGGCGATTTGCGCCGACATGAGCGATGCGAAGTCCATCGGTGCGATTAATGCTGTATTCAAGAAATAGACTGTTGTTCTGATGATGCTGATGAGAAGAGGCGTGACTTGCTCGGTCGCTCTTGCCAATTGAGAATGGCACATCTTATCGCGGATCTGCCCGCTGCGGCGATGCACGAGACCTCCGAGAGCTGCCTGTCGCTAGCAATGGATGTTGCCTGCTTGACATTCACTCTGTATATTGTTAGCTTGCTTGGAGGCTTGTAAACAAACTCACAATTATTGATGGGAATACTGATTTTGTCGTTCGTGACTTCAGTGTTGTGTCAGGAATGATTGCAGTACGCTTTTCTACTCATTCCGAGGTCATTGTCGAAAAAGGCTTTAGTCGACAACAATTTCGCATTAGCATCGATGTGCACATGACGTGCCAATGAGTCTCGAGTCAAAGTTTTGCCAGCACCATAATCAAGAGGCAGAATCATCGGTAAGTGGTCAGGAATGAGATTCATTGCGAGAAGCAGGGTTATACCAGAAACAACAGGACTTGGCCCAAATTTGTCTCGTCACAATGTGGGTTGAAAACACAACCATTACTTCGCTTGAAGAGATTATGGGTCCAGGTTCATTGATCCTGCTCCGAGAACTGCAGATGACACCCATCCCAGCCCACCCCACGGCCACATTGCCAATGCTATCATCACCTTCCCCAGAGCTGGCTCCTCCCATTCGATGCCCTCCTCTTTTCGCCCAGCTAATGCTGCGCCCAGGTCGCCACGATTGTCCCAAACCGTCCTTTGTCCGGTATGAAGAGTCGGATTGAGTGAGCATCTAATCATTCCCCAAAGGCTGAGCGTACTTGTTACGATCCAGCTTAGAAGGAAGACTAGAGTAAGCACGACATCACAAGACATGGCTGCCATAGCAGGGTCATGGTTCAGAAAATCCACTAGGCTGAGCGTATGGAACCGATGATGGACGTCAGACTGGTGAAGATATAGTCGATATGAAGAACTCTCGGGATCGGCCACAACATCCTTGAAGAATATGATATAGGTCGACCAGGCGTGAAGACCAAACGATAGGATGCCAGTTGTCCAGAAGACTTTGCTTTGCGCTTCCGAGATGCTGACGAGTCGGCGATGATGATTGTTCACCTTTGGGAGGATCCAAGAGATAAGTGGGAGGACTAAAGGAATGATAGAGAGGAACAACAAAGATCTCTGAAATAGTGGAGTGTTGAGAGTGGGCATCATCAGCCACGCAAAGGTGTGGTGGGCCATCGACAGGAGTCCGACAACGTAGTGTAGCAGATCGACGTCAAACCAGCTAATACCTCTTGATGGGGGTGTCGAGAGTATGAACAGAAATAGCAAGCAATGCGCACAGCTAAGGCTGGTCATGGCTACCCAGACGAATGCAAGCATGGTGATTGTTTTCAACCGACGGACGTGANNGCTGGTCAGAAAATATGAGTCAGCCAGGTTTACGTGAAAGATGAAGGCGTGATTTGACTCACATCGAGTTAAGAGGAAGAAGACAAAGCTGATCAATCCACCAAAGTATTGCTGCGACCACCACAGAAAGTAGCCCCATTCTGGTTTAGGGTTCTCAGCCTCGCCGGCCCAGGATCGAAGATGCATCATCTGGAACATCTGCGGCATACGATCCAAATGTTCCCTGTGTACATATCAGCAAGACTAGAAGGTGAAGACCAGGTGCTATGGAAGGACCAACTCATAGAACCAAGGATATTTCGATGATGGAATATCACGTAAATCACGCAAACCAGGTTTCTGGATATCGGTGAAGTACTGATCCTGATAGTACATGACTACAGTAGCAGAGAACAAGGCAGCAGCGAGGTAGACGGCTGCGAAGACCCTTCGGGATGTTTGAGGATTCGAGGTGATATTGGCAAAAGTGCCTCGACTCGCATTCTGCTGGCCCACATACCAGATGTCAACCAGAATCAAGACTACGCAGGTTATAAAGCCCGCCGGACTCCAACTACCGGGGCGAACCACGCGCTGGATGTAATATTCTGGATGCGTCATGTTTGAGCTGATGATACTGCGAACCTGACGAGAGGAGGACAGTTGGGAGGGAAGTAGATGGTCTTAACCGAGCCTCTCTTGGGGAATGCACATGTACATTCCATTGTGGTGAATGAAAACATTTGACCTAGCTTTGCACAAACGACACATTCCTTGCATGGTGAGGTTGAAGGGAAGGAAGGAGGACCCCTTGGACGCACTTTCCCCACCAGCGTCTTGACAAGCTGTCGCGTCGCTGACGGACGCTTGTGCCATGCATGTGATTGATCCTTTGACTGCTGTTTCGCACCCATGAGAGCCCGTCTGGCCATTGTTTGCCCGAGTGTGCCATAACACAAACATGTATCACTTGGTAAAGTCGCTCTATCTGCACGCGACAAGCAAAGAAGGTACGCCAAAGACGCAAACGACCTGTCGCGATTTGACTTTGGCTGACGCGACTCAAANNGAGTATTCCATTCTCCTTCTTGGACTTGACAACGCCGGAAAGACGACCTTGCTCGAACAGATCAAGGCCCTCTTCAGCCCACACCTGCACCCAAAGCTCAATACCGTCCCTACTGTCGGCCAAAATGTCTCTACCGTCGACTTGCCTGACATTTACCTCAAGATATGGGATGTCGGCGGTCAGCACTCCTTGAGAGGACTATGGCAGTCATACTACAGCAGCTGCCATGCCATTGTCTTTGTCATCGACAGCACAGACGTCGGCGATGGCGACATTGAGCACCTCAGCAAAGGCCAAGATGCCGTCGAAGAGCAGGGAAGACTGGACGAGTGTAGGCTCGTGTTGGAGAGCATTCTACAGAACGGAGAGACTGAAGGTGTGCCGCTTCTCGTTCTGGCCAACAAGCAGGACCGTGAGGACTGTGTCGAGGTCGTTCGTATCAAAGAAGGCTTGGTGCGCAAAATCGTCGAAGGTGAAAAAGGAGGAAGCGTCAGAGACAGCAGAGTCCTTCCTTTGAGTGCCCTGACCGGCACTGGCGTTAAGGAAGCTGTCGACTGGCTCTGCAGCAGAGTCAAATGGAACAAAGAGGCGAGGCCACCAGCTCTACGTTGACCGAACAATGACATCGCTCGTCCGATATCAGACGCCTACACACCAGTCCTGCCGACGTGGACAAACATTCACCTCGGATCCACCCCGAATAACCGCTGCAAATCTGCTGCTTCGCTTTTCAGCTGAGTGACCACGCTGGTTCAACCAGCACATCCTGACTTGGCAACAAGACTCTGGCTGAGAACAGCTCCAAGCATGTTGATCACAGAACATGCGGGAGCAATGCATACTGCACTTAGACGCGAAGCATTCCTGGGCAATAGCTTCGATATATCCCCTTCCTGCGCTGAATGACTAGAGAGCTAAGCACGGCAGTTTTTGATGACCAACCTCCGAACCTTTGGACCAGAAAGAAGTACCACAGGTCGCCATCTAGGGGTCTGCTCGGTCGAGAGATGACCTCCTCACGACTTATGTTAGGCCTATGGAGATGCCTTTTTGTGTCTACCCTTCCACGATGTACACGAATTTTCCATGCAGACGATTGTCTTGTGTCGTACAGAAGAGCATGCGCTGCCCAACTTTTATGTATTTACATAGGTAGTCTTCTTGATGCTCGCATCACGATACTTAGTATGCGATGTTCTATCTCCGGGTATAGCCGATATCTCTGTGACTCCAATCATCGACAAAGCCAACCGGGTGTGAAGACTTGGCACGTTGGTCGTCTCTCGCGACGTGCAACCAACCCGACCTCCATGCCAAACCACAAAACTCTACATCTTGTCACAGCCACTCGAACTACCACGACGACTTTCTCTGCAGCCGAAACGGTCGGGGAGATCAAGCCGCACCTGTCAAGAAGAAACCGGGTCGCCGGTACCTCATCCGACGCAGCCCCTTCGCGAGGGTTGGTTGACTTATCACTTCGAACCACAACTTTGACCATCTTGCATACCAATCAAATCTGCCCCTTGCAAGCCACTGATTCGCGCTCATTAAAATAAAGATGCCCAATGCGATGGATGTAAGTAATAGTGTTCCCCCGAGTTTTTGGAGGTTGGACGATGTTGCTCCCCGGCTTGGAAGGTGCGCTTGTCAATAGACTTGGTGATTGGAGTCTGCCTTTGCAGCCAGCGCTTGTGAACATCGAGCGCCGTCAAACGAAGCACCTTTTCCTACACAATTGTGAGTGTCGAACCGTCCCTTCATTTATCGCCTACTGTTGCAACGAAACTTGGCTATTCCGTACTCTGAGCTGCGCCAAACCGTTGTATTGTACCTTCGCTCCTGCCAGCAAGGCTTTAAAGCATACATACTAGTCTTGGCCAGCGCGAGACGACATCAGTTCATGTGATTAGGATAAAGACCACACGCAGAGAATTGTTCACTAATAAGATTACTTCAGGAGGAAAAGAAGGCACCACTCAACTCCATCGCCATTTTTGTAGACAAGGGACGCAAGTTCCAATCGCTCAAACAACAACAATGCCACGACCCGGCCTCCGTATCCTTGGTGGACCGACCGACGAGCATCTAGGCCGAGAGAGGTTAATGAGTTATATTCAGGATCAAACCTCCGCCGACTTCCCAGACATGTCTGCCGAAGTATCAAATTCGCAATTCCACACCGGCCGCCTACCCAATGGTGCCAAGAGTCGCAACAGACCAAAGTTGATGCTGATGGGTCAAAGAAGGTACGCAAATCAACAGGCTAGTAAAAGAACAACCTGTTGACCAATGTGACNNAGAAGCGGAAAATCGTCAATCTCTGGTGTAGTCTTCCAANAAATGCCACCTTCTGAGACATTGTATCTTGAGACGACAACGCGACCAGAAGAATCATCTGCTCAGTGAGTAATTCGTTTCGACAACCTACCGAACCATTTTCTGATCAACGTCAGCTCCTTTATGGATTTTCAAATAGCGGAACTCCCAGGCCATGTCAACTACTTCACACCCGACTTCAACCAAGCTAACATCTTCGCCGAAATCGGTGCCGTCATCTGGGTCATTGATGCTCAGGATCAATACCTGGACGCTCTCAATCAACTGATCGACACAATTACCTACCTAGCACAAACGTGGCCTGCCATAAATGTCGAAGTCTTCGTCCACAAGGTTGATGGTCTTTCGGAGGAATACAAGAACGACACTTTCCGCGACATTCGACAACGAATTTTGGACGAGCTTTCCGATCTTGGTTACGACAACGCCCCTGTCAGTTTCTACCAGACCAGCATTTACGATCATTCCGTCTTCGAGTCGATCAGCAAAGTCATCCAGAAACTTCTGCCACAACTGCCTACACTGGAGAGTCTGCTCAATAGCTTGTGCAGTACATGCCGAATTCAGAAGGCATACCTATTCGACATCATCACCAAGATCTACATCGCATCAGATACAAGCCCACAAGACACCAACAGCTACGAAATCTGCTCCGACTTCATCGACGTGGTGGTCGATATTGGTGAACTGTACGGATGGGCAAGACCTCAGCAGGGCGAGAAGACTGAGTTCAACAACCATGCTTGCGAGAGCATGGTCACCATGGAGAAGAAGGGACAGAACTATTTGTACCTCAGAGAGATGAACAGGTTCGTATTGTCTTCCCAACGTTGCTCGTGTTTGTGCTAAAATGCGTTCAGATACCTTGCTCTGGTTTGCATCATGGGCGACGACAATCCAATGGAGAAGAAGGTGCTCATAGACTACAATGTTGGGGTTTTCCAAGAAGCTCTTGCAAAAGTCTTTGGCTGGTAAGACTATGTACAATACCTTTGAGACCCTGCAAATAACAAGATAAAATCTTGCACTCAAGTTGCCTCGGCGTCATTGGCCTCTCCGAATCTTGTTTGCTTAACGTGGCTTCCAAATCGAGTCGATCGTGATGATGATCAAAACTTCTCGCCAACGCTGTATATGTCGGACAAATGCCACGAGATGATCAAGAAACCGAGACAAGATGGTATACGGTGAAATGTTTGCGAGCAGCCGAATTTTTCGAATCCGGGTGTGACCTCCTTTGTTCGACATGGTCAGCTCAGTTGTCGAATTCGAAGCTACAATACAGGTCAAAGGCGAGCACAGCAGCGAATTGTGTAAGGCCTCGCTCTGTGTCAAGGACAAAGGATCTTTTCGACTTTCGACAATGCAAGTCCCAATGCATCGAGCAAACAAATTCCTTGGCTCGGCTGTTCTGACATAGACCATCGCACCTTCCATCGACAGATGCGGCGAACAAAGACTGACTTGACTTGGATGTCCTTGACCTCTGGACAGTCTATCCTGGCTGGCAATCTTCCTTCCTAGTATACAAACCGAACGCTCCAAGTTCTTCACCGCGCCAATATATAATCGATATGGCTAATCCTACGCCACGCTTTGCTGATATGCTCGTCAATGCCAAAGCACAGGTTATACGAACTTTCCGGACTTGGGCACTCGTAGCTCCAACAAATCCAGTACCTGGGCAGAATGTCATCGCACATACCGCAGGAAGTACATGGCGCGGAATTCCACCAGCGAACAGTGTTATGGCTGTCGGGGCCGAAGGAGTAGTACACCTCTGGTGTAGAGTCAACAATACCACTGGCATCATCGAGGACCGGGTCGTTGTCAAACATGTGGTATCTGGTCAGCTACGTTATCAAGATCATGTCAATTGGGTCAATGGCCAGGTGGGAGGAGAACCTCTGGAATGTCGTAACGCCAACCTTGTCTGGGCTGCCATGCCTGTGGCCGATCGACAGCATATCCAATCATGCTTGGGCTGGGGAGATATGGTCCAGCCAGGCGTGGTTCGACAGACTTACCAGTACAAGCTTTACCACGAGTACTGTCCCCACAGCAGTCTGAACAGAATCATGAATAATCAACCCAAAAGGAAGAAGAAGGGTGCCATTAAANAGGGTCGGAAACAGTTTCCGGAGCCATTCCTTTGGTACATGTTCGAATCCTTAGCAAAGGCTTGTGTAGCGATGGACCAGACTTACAATCTAAGAGGCCTAGTGCATCAGTACGTGTTTGTATGACCAAATTCATCCATGAGTGGTAAGCTAATTAATGTGACAGAGNATATGCATCCAGGAAACAGTAAGCCCCCAGCCGAAGCAGTCAGTACGTATTTGATCGACTAACATTGTATAGTCTTCTTTGGTCCCGAAAATACTACCACATTCAAAGCTTACCCAGTGCTCAAGGTAAGTAGAGAACTTGAAGTCTTCCAGGGAAGACAATTAACACTTTTGTGTAGGNTGGCCGACTTTGGCAGTTCCCGCGAAATCACCAATCAAGTGAGGAACCGTGGTCCGATCGTTCAGGATGATCCTGTCTGTTTGACATATGCTGCACNNCCGTAAGTAGATTTACACAGTTATCAGCTCGGTCACAGGCACTAAATGTTGACGTTCCAGGAAAATTCATGGGTCACTCCAATACCCGCCGGTCACGGACTCACTTGGGAAGCTCCAGGCATGAGAATTGGCAAGAGGACAAACGTATACCAAGTCGGCCTCATAATGGCGAGTGCGATAAGATTGATCACGCCGCTGCCGGAGAACAATTGGAGAGGGCAGCCGCCAAACTCAAACTACAATATCCCGGCAGCAGATCAATTGCACCATGACCCGGCTGCGATAGGTGTGCAAGAACTGCCACTAGCCAAACTGAGCCCAGGACCGAAAAAATACAGCAACGAACTTATCAGACTGGTTGCGCAGTGTCTGAGACACCGGCCCGTGGATCGGCCTCTAGCAACTACCTTGTTGCAACGTATTCAGCAGCATGCAAAATTCCAAGGGATAGACGCAGTAACATTGCCTGTGTCTGCTGACATGAAAAGTCTTTGCATCGATCTCAACCAGGATAAATACGCGATCAACACACCGTTCTGAGGGGAAAAAGTAGGAGGCACATTTTTGGCCTGATGAGGAGGACACTCTTCACAACTCTACATGCCAAAAGGTCAACAGACTTTCTCCATTTGTTTCTCTACTTGGAAGATACCGAAGTCTTTTTGAATAAATTGCTTATCAGTTGAGCACTAAAATGCTCAAAGCACAAATCAATGTTGGAAATCACTTTTTTTTCTCTTTCTTTTTTTGCTCCTCATCACGATTTAGTTCGGTTAGACAAAATTTGAACGAAGCCTTGTTCTTCACCAAATATTAACACTATACTGCCATTGGTTTCTACGTGACTCTCCGTGGTACATAAGGCTTCTTTCCGACCTTGTACCTATCGTTGAGACTCATTCTGATAGCCTGAGGATGATTCCAGGGGAATCTGCCTCTTGCCATCATCATACCGCCCTCCTTCCCAACCATCTTAATGTGCACCTCCTGAAGCAGTTGTTGCGGCGTTATTCTGTAGTCAGGATCCACCCTGATACACTTCTTGACCAGCGTCAACAACTGTCTGCTGTATCTTTGCGACCGAGGATCATCGAGTCTCATCTTCATAGGCTGAGATGCGAATCCAGGTCTAAAGCCCATCGCTCGATGCTGGGGTATTTGAGCTGCATAGACAGGATCTTGGTGCCGCCACCGCCATTGTGTTTCCAGAAGGTCTGGCTCGAGGCGGAGAGCACTCAGCATCAGCATGCCTATTTGCCAGATGTTTGTCTTGCATGTGATCGTTGCAGGTCTCTGGACGTAGCCTCCTGGTCTCATGCCTGGTGTGCTGGGCGGGAGAGTCGGGTCCCAATGGTCGAAGAATTGCACAGTGTGCTGTCCTGGCAACACGAAGTCATCGAAGTCCTGCTCCGGAGAAGCAAAAGCCTCTGCATGTGGTCCCATGCCATATCTGTTCACTTGGCCTTGAGCATCGGTCCGTCGGGCGCTACCAAAGTCTCCCAGCTGGATTGACCGCGTCAGTATGTTTGATACGTAATCGTTAGAGTGAAGCTGGCTTGCCTTGGGTACGGGCCAAATCGCGAAGTGGTTTGGATCAGGTTGGCCGAAGAAGACNTGCCACTAGTCAGCAATGCAACAATAAAAGTTGACCGTTCAAATCGTACTGTTTGCAGATTGCATGTCACTGGAAAGGGTTAGCTACATCTGTCTGCGCGGGCAAGGTTTTAGATCAACTCACCCATGAACAACGCCTATACTATCCATGGCCACAGCAACTTGGGCGAGTGCTTCGAACAACTAAACCAATGGTCAGAAGGAGATCGATTGGATGTGAACGCAGATGGTGATACTCACAGCCCACAAGAATCCTTCGGGAAAAGGCTTCTGTTCGATCGCAACTCTCTGTCTTGTCAAGCGTCCAGGACGCTTGCGCATCTTNGACGTCGGCCATTGAGCTTCGATACATTTAGGTAGATCACCTAACAAATACTCATAGTACAGCTTCCATTGAGGTAAGTTAGGCTGACCAGACATAACATCACCATAGCCCAAACACTCGTTGATGAACTTCTCCTGTCCAGGGTGGTTCGTTCGTAACCATCGATGGAGATCATTTGCAATATCGTGTTCGAGGGGCTCTCCACCAACTGCTCCTGCAACCCAATAGGCTGGGTTACGATAACTCAGCGCGCCAGGAATACTCTGTTTGACGACAACTCGATCGGTGATGTTGTTGTTGTGATCGACGCAGACCCAGACGTGGACAATGCCGCTGCCGCCGCAAGCAAGTGGTATTTGGTCGTGGCTCTTTGGTGCTGGCAGCCAGCGACCTTGCTGGCATTGTCTCGCCGGGGTCAATGAGGAGAACACGGGTGCCGCGAACTGCCAAGTTGCTGTAAAGTTGTGGATCAGCCAATTCTGCACACCTTGCGGCAGAAGAGCAAGTTGAATGGTGTGTGTATGGTTCGCGGGTACAGCAGGAACGCGATGGGGTGCTGCAGCCATTTTCAGTAGGTCTGTTGAGTACGCGTCCGGTAAAAGATGTTGTACGTGAGCGTTATCTATGTCTGAACGGATGGTAGCTGAGGATTTATCAGTTATACAACTCCTTTGTCCCTCAATCCTGTAGAACTTCCGGATCCGGGGACACGGAGCAAACAAAGAAGCCTTGTTGACTATTGCGGCGACGCCGGATGCGAGAGAAAGCTATTGTGCGAAGCCAAAGTATACACAACTACTGCATTAGTAGAGATCGAGAAGTGGCGAACGAATCATGTTTGTATTGCAAGTGCAACCGCGCAGAATTAGTAAGGAAGAAGAACCAGGGAAGCCACGAAGAACAAGAAGCACTGGAGATTTCAAGCGTCATTTAAGAATGAACAACAAAACCAAGAACAAATACATCAAAAAGCTACAAGATGGCCATTGAAGGCATTTTGCAAAGATAAGCTGTGACATCAAGTACCATGACCTTTGTACACGTCAGCGACGTCGAGGTAATGAATCCTGGAGAGCCTGATATAGACCATCTCCATCGACAAAGTCAAATTGAGGAACAGGTTGATCAAGTACTTCGTATCCTGCTGCAGGATCGAAGAAATCATGAACAAACTGCCCTGCGTTGGGACCCATAAGAAAACCTTGGGCGGGAGTGTCTTGAGGAGCGCCGGATGTTGTGGTCATTGATCGCCAGGTATCATGCGGGTTCTCTGGTGGTCTCCTGAGTGGTGTTTTTGGCATTGGACCTCCACCACCAGGCGGGTCTGTTGTTGTTGGGATCTCGTCGCTCATATCCAGATCTATGACTTCTTCCTGCGTAACAGGGTAGTCGTCTACGAATGGGATGTTAGGATCAAGATCATACTCGCCATGATATTGAGTAACATCGAAGCACTCTCTGGTTCTCATAACACCGGCATAGATCTTTACGCCCTGATTGACTGTTGCGAGAAGATCTATGGCAGTCGGCCTCCGATTGGGTATGTAATCGAGACACCGTATGACCGTGTCCTTGAGCAATGCGCTATAGCCTTGCACTCTTGGGGTAGTGTCTTTTTGACTAAAGAAGTCGTCAAGCCATGCGTCGCGAGCATCGTAGACTCCAAATTTTGGTTTCTTGAAACATTGAGAAGCCGTCATGAGATCGGCTATGATGAGCCCGACGTTCCAAACATTGGTGGCAGAAGTAATTCTCTTGGGTATGTCCGCCGACGTGACACCAAATCTTGCGTTCCTTTTTGGAATTTGATTTGCCAGTTTATTTCGAGAAAATTGCTCCATGTCCGGCGCAACATAACCGGCGGTAGCCGAAGCTTCAGAAAGTGTCAGCAATTACACATCTATCTGCTTCTGTTTAGCTGACTTACTGCTGTCAACCTTTTTCAAGTGTTCTTCCTCAGTGTCTCGAGGCGAAGATATCATTGCGCCTCCGAAATCACCCAACTAACAGATCATTAGCTTAGCTACAGTATGAAGAATCAGCTCTTTATGCGCTAGAGTCTGTCAATCCACCCTTCTCTCTAGGAGCGTAGAGTGTAGTGCATGCTATAGAGATGCACAGTTCTTTCCCGAAGCAGAGAAGTAGCCAGAGAGAGCTACCAAAATGTTGACTCTCAGTATACAGTGCCTTGTTTTTTGATAGTACTTTGCATTTCCATAGCCACACGCATGACAAACTTTGGCACACGAGAGGCGTGAACTCACCTTGGCAATAGGATACTTCGGAAAGTTGTTCTCGTCAGGCAAGCAAAGGAAAACTGAACAAGATCAATACTACACTTCACAATTGACCCGAGCAGGTAAAGCTTACTGTTGTCTGGTTTGAAATCACTGAAGTATCCGTTAGCGTCGTATTTCGGCGCTGAGTTTGAATGAGACTTACATATGAGCTACGGATTCATCTCCTTTCAAGCCGTGACCGGATGGATTATCCATGGCATGTACTGCTCGAGCAAGATCATGGAAGAGTTTCCATATATATGGCTCTGGGAAAACAAGCGAACGTTCTTGATATTCCTGGAGAAGTCTTCTCAAATCACCTCCAGGACCTGCTAATGTGTCAGCGAAAAAGGCTCGAAAGTTGACTGTGCGCCATTTACAGTATTCCATGTATAACCGAAAAGCATCCCTTTCTTTATAAAACCGAGAGCAAATGATGTCGACGACGTTTGATTCTTTAGGCAAGATCCTGCTCATGAACTCTTCCCTAGGAACATCCTTCTTGGGACCGTAAAATTCATATTCATTGTCCCATTCTCTCACTGGCCATACTTCTTTGACTGCCATCTGTCTAACAACCCTTTGCGTCTCACGATCAAGTTTGACGAACAGGCCTGCACAGCCTTGCCCACCATCTGTATAACATTGTCAGCATGTCGCTGACAGAGAAAAGCAAGCATGTTCTGGTTTGTATCCCATGGCGCCTGTATCATACCTCCGAGCTGTTTTTTCCCAACCCACAGTTCTTCGTCATCATACGCAAACCCGGGTTTACTGTTTATCAACGCCAAACCTCGGGCTGACATTGTCAATCGTTCTTTGGGATACTGGGATGATAGGTAGCGGTTATGCGAGATGGTGAAATTTTCAATTCTCGAGACTCGAGTGGAAAGCAGCCACTTCTTTGTGCTTGATTCGACGATTCACCGCATGCGGGCTGGATTTCTACTATTCTGCTTGTCTGATTAAACAAAGAAACTACTGCTACAATGAAGTGGACGAAACTCCAGACGAAGGTTATGTGGTCCGACTGATTTGCTGCGTGACAAGATTTCGGATGATAAAGTTGAGAGCGACTCCCCTCGTTCTCACAGATGGCGTCGTGTAATCAGACCCAGGAACAGATACATGAGGTGTCGTCTGGACCCTGCTGGTGTAGATACGATACATGCCCTGGGTTCAAGGCTTTTCCACGTGTACGCGTTCATGTATGCTGCGCCCATAGAAAGACATCGACATCGATCGCCAATGCATGTGCGCACTTGCGAGATTCGAGATTACTCTTTCTAGAGGAAGACGCTACAGAACGATCCAGAGCAAAATATGTTGCGGTGCTATGCTGTTGTTATTTAGACATATTAGTCGACATAGCACTGCGAAGAAGAGCTTTCAATCAGCACGGCGTCGCTTAGTTTGGCCATTCGCTGGTATTGCATCTTCGTCATCTTCGAGGAAGTCAGACTCCGGGCCTTGACTCTTGCGACGATATTGTCCTGCTCCAATCGCAACCATCTCCTCCTCGCTATCGCTTGCGTGAATGTCTAGCAGGACAGGCATGCGAAATTCGTGCTTCACTTGGCCTGGTTTAGCGGGGTCGACGGTCAGAACGTCGACATGTTCGTCTTCAAGATCAAGGCGCCTCTTGTGCAGTTCTTCAATAGGGTGTATATCGAACTCGTCTTCTGCTTCGATGTATTCGTTGTTTTCCTCGACTTCGAGAAAATCAGGAGCGAGTGCGGACCAGCGTTGTGGCGTGTTGACAGACCATAGATAGATGCGACCCGACTCAACACCAGTGGCTGCGACGAAGGGTCTTTGAGGATGCCACTCAACAGCCCCCAGCTCTTCCTTGGGACCCTCCAGAATTTTGACCAAACTGCCATGGCCACGCTCCCAGATGTAAATGTCGTGGTTCATGAGTGTTGAGGCCATGACATAATCGCCGGATGGACTGAAAGCAACGTGGTTCCAAGAGAGGCGGTTGACGACGTCTTGGAATTTGTGCTCAACCTCAAGGCGCATGTTGTCAGGGTCGAAAGATGGATCTCCGAGGTCGGGCAGATGGATTGTGCGGATGATGCTGTCAGCCGCGTTGACGAGCAAATCGCGGCCAGAGGTGGTAAGACGCAAGAGGAGTAGTGCCTTGTTGCTAAGGCGAGTCGAGTAGATGACGGAACAAGTGCTCGCCTTGATGATGTTTAGCCAACCCTTTGTGGTGCCTGTGATGATGTGATCGCCAGAGGGNGTGAAGATTGTGACGGTCGTAGTATTCTTAGCATCTTGAGCAGCTTGTTTGTCATCTTGCTCGTAGGCAGAGCGCTTGGGGGCTGAAGGGAGAGGTTTTGGGATGGTGGAGGGTTGATCGAGCGATGCCAGGACGGGCTGGGCTTCGAAGAGAGCGGCGGTGCAGAGCAGGTGATTGTGAGGATGCAACTCGGCGATGTAGATGGGAGCGCCGAGGTTGACAGTGCGAATGCGCGAACCGTCGTTCAGGTCCCAGAGGATGGCCTTCCAGTCGACTGACGAGCTGAGCAGGTAGCGGCCACAAGCAGACCAGCTCAGCGACTGAACCTGGCGGCCGGGAGTGTGACCACGCAGCTTGCGGGCAACGCCATGTGTCTCGAGATCGAAGATGGCGATGGCCCCTTTGGCGGTACCGGAAGCGAGCAGATCACCCTGGCGGTTGAAGCGTAGACAGACAGCGGCGCCAGAACTGCGCAGACGGGCGATGAGGGCCTCTGGCATGTCCTGCGCCAGGACGAACGGGTCGACCAGGGCGAGATTCATGCTGGATGTGAGATGGTATGATCAGCAAGACTAGAGTAGCATAATTGTCGTAAAGTAGAGTAGGCCCAACTATTAGCAAACGACGACAGACGCTGCGAAAGACATGGCAAGGCTGCAAGGGCGACTCTGCGTCTGTGACGGCAACCTGTTTGCGAGATCTGTTTGCTCGCCTCGGCCGAACCTTTACTTGTACCAAGGGACCATGATCAGCAGGGAGTTCTCCTTGTTTCTTCTTCGACTAAGACTCGCATCGAACTGCAGGCAGGTCCACTGCTTGCGAGCATAGCAGCAGTGAGCACGTGACTTGCACCTTCCCAGATTGGTCGACTCCAGAGTCAGGACTCAGAAGCAGAAGCAGCGACCAGCGACGCTTCACTTTAGCGGCCGGCGCCTTGCAACATCAACGCCCGTCATATCCTCGACCTCACCCTTGCTGCCTCCACGCCCTCACCAACCACATCTTCGCGCCCGCCATCTCCGCCGCGCGCATTCGCCATCTCGAGTCGCGTCGCTCCTTCATTCCCGTCGATTTCTTTGTCTTCGCCGCTGCCCGGCTGTGCGCGCGCCGACCGAAAGGCCAGTCGCTCGACACGCGCTCTCTCGCCAGAGGCATCCGCTTTCCATCCACAACCCGACCTCTCCATCGCAACCGCCATCTGTCCTGGAGACCTCCGGCCGACCTTCTCGTCGACAGCGCCTTGAACGTGGCAGCCGCTGATCCGATTCTTAAATAATTTCCCTCAGCCATTGCTATCAACAACCGCCACCATGAACATCCACTCTTTTCCCTATTCCAGCGCTCCGCTGAAGACCATTCAGGAGATTCAGTTTGGCCTCTTCTCGCCCGAGGAGATCAAGAACATGAGTGTGTGTCACATCGAGTACCCAGAGACCATGGACGAGCAACGGATGCGTCCGCGAGAAAAAGGCTTGAACGATCCCAAGCTGGGTTCCATCGACCGTTCTGTTGCTTGCGGTACTTGCGGTGAAGACATGCTCGAGTGTCCCGGTCATTTTGGCCACATTGAGCTTGCGGTGCCCGTCTTCCACGTCGGTGTGTTTGCTCGCCACAAGGCCACCATGTCTGAAGATTGCGCTGACCCGGTGCAGNGTTTTGTCACCAAGATCAAGAAGATCCTCGAAACCGTCTGCCACAACTGTGGCAAGGTCTTGCTTGATGAAGTGAGTCGCCCTGCGCGGCTGAAGCTGAATTCAATGCCCGACCCTCATGCTAATCATTACCTTCATAGANGCATCCCTGCTTTTGCCCAAGCCGTGCGCATAAGAGATCCCAAACGCCGTTTCGATGCTGTTCACAGACTCTGCAAAGCCAAGACGACTTGCGACCCTGACGAGGCTGGTGACGACGGAGGAGACCCGAAAGACGCCTTGAAGAAGGGCAAGCGATCACACGGTGGCTGCGGTAACCTGCAACCCACAATTCGCAAGGACGGTCTCAAGCTTACCGGTACCTACACCTTCCCCAAGGACGCAGACACGGAACAAAAGCCGGTAGAGAAGAAGGCCATCACTCCTCAGATGGCTCTCAACGTCTTCCGCAACATCTCGACATACGATTTGGCTAGAATGGGCCTCAACGCAGACTATGCTCGTCCCGAATGGATGATCCTGACTGTGCTGCCTGTCCCGCCACCAGCCGTCCGTCCCAGTGTCTCGGTCGATGGCACCAACCAGGGTATGCGTTCCGAGGATGATTTGACCTTCAAACTCAGTGATATCATCCGTGCCAATGCCAACGTTCGCAAGTGCGAGCTCGAAGGCTCTCCACACCACGTTATTGCAGAGTTCGAGGCTCTGCTGCAGTTCCACGTTGCCACATACATGGACAACGACATTGCAGGACAGCCCAAGGCTTTGCAGAAATCCGGTAGACCAGTCAAGGCTATCCGTGCGCGTCTGAAGTCCAAGGAGGGTCGTCTTCGTGGTAACCTTATGGGCAAGCGTGTCGACTTCTCTGCTCGTACTGTTATCACTGGTGACCCGAACTTGTCCCTGGATGAAGTAGGTGTGCCCAGAAGTACCGCCCGCATTCTTACCTTTCCTGAAACCGTCAACGCTTTCAACATTGACAAGCTACAACAACTCGTCCGCAATGGCCCCAACGAACATCCTGGAGCAAAGTATGTTATCAGAGACACTGGCGAGCGCATTGATTTGCGCCATCACAAGCGTGCCGGCGAGATTCAACTGCAATATGGCTACAAGGTCGAAAGGCACATTGTCGATGGTGATGTTATTATCTTCAACCGTCAACCCTCGCTGCACAAGGAGTCTATGATGGGACACAGAGTTCGCGTCATGCCCTACTCTACCTTCCGCCTCAACCTTTCCGTTACCTCACCCTACAACGCCGATTTCGATGGTGACGAAATGAACTTGCACGTTCCTCAGAGTCACGAAACTCGCTCAGAAGTCATGAACCTCTGCATGGTGCCCCTCAACATCGTCTCTCCTCAGCGAAACGGTCCCTTGATGGGTATCGTGCAAGACACCCTTTGTGGTATCTACAAGATGTGCCGCCGTGACGTTTTCCTCGACAAGGAAATGGTCATGAACATTCTCATGTGGGTACCTGATTGGGACGGCATCATCCCACCACCTTCAATCGTCAAGCCTCGCCCGAGATGGACTGGTAAGCAGATTGTCAGCTTGATTGTCCCTGCTGGCCTCAACCTTGTCCGCGGCGATTCTGAGGGTATGCACCCGCTCAACGACAATGGACTGATGGTACATGGTGGTGAGCTTATGTACGGTCTGTTCAGCAAGAAGTCCGTCGGTGCCAGTGGAGGCGGTATTATCCATATCGTCTACAACGAGAAGGGCTGGGAAGCCGCTGTTAACTTCTTCAACGGAGCTCAGCGCGTTGTTAATTACTGGCTGCTTCACAACGGTTTCAGTATTGGTATTGGTGATACGGTTCCTGACGAGGCAACTGCCGAGGCTATCACAGATGCAGTCAACGAGCAGAAGGCAGAGGTCGCTGTCATCACCGAGGCTG